AGTTCATATAAGGTTGGTGTTGAACACATCTGCAGACACGAAACACAGAAATAAACGCATGTCAATACATTGTGTGTGTGCTTGCTGTCAATAAATTGTGTGCGTGTGTGTGTTCAAAAGCTGAATGGAAATATCAATTATTTATTACATTGTAATCTCCTACTTCAGAGAACAGTATGGATCCCCATAAAAATAGGGTTCTCCATCGAATGAGTAAGGCTAGCAAATAAAAATTTATGTTCGATTACTGTATTGATGACGCACATTAATCCGCTAAACGAGTTATAGATCTTGTGTGGGTTAAAGGTGTGTGTAATTGTGTGTGTGTGTGCTAAAATTGTGTCGATAGCACGTGCGTGTGTTTGTGTGCGTGTGTTTGTGTGCGTGTGTGTGTGTGCGTGTGTGTGTGTGCGTGTGTCACTTTCATTCAGCATCAATCGAATCCAATAAATGTTTTTGAGACTATTTTCTGCGTGAAAAAACAAACATCACCAACGTTAAAGTGATGTCATCATTTGTATGTGGTTATACGTCACTACAGAATTCTTGTAGTGTAATACATCCTACAGACCTATTTTTAGAATCTTGGCTTTTATAACTTTGTATAACATTTAATAGTGATGCTATTTGTATGTGGTAGTTAGACACGAAGGTATGTGTTAAATGTGGGCTGTGTAATTGTTGACATATTTGTGATATTTAAAATCTCTGTAAAGTATTGAGTTGACAAACACATGTACTCTACTTCACCTGGCTGATGGGCCGGCTGGTCTGAAATCACGTGACTTGGGAAGTGTTCAAACCGTAGGTGAACCCAGGCCGTGACGTCACAGGAAGCTCGGACGTCTAAAGTACATGTCCTTGACCCGGCCCAACAGTCAGTATGTATGTGTGTTTGTGTGTTTGTGTGTGTGTGTTTGTGTGTGTGTAGTGTGTGTGTGTTTGTGTGTGTGTGTAGTGTGTGTGTAGTTTGTGTGTGTTTGTGTGTGTGTAGTGTGTGTGTAGTTTGTGTGTGTTTACACATCCCCCCCACCTCTGACTCCCCCACCCCACCCCCCAACATTAGGCGACCGTAGCTCGACCGTCTGTACACATCACAAGCCTCACCTTTAGCTAGCCCCGACCAAAACGAGGCTGTGCAAATATTTTTCTTCTCGCCCCGGCCTAACCCCCCCCCCCCACTTTGACCCCCCCCCCCCCACACTTTGACCCCCTTATTTTGACCCCTTGCTTTGACCCCTCGCCAAAATAAACGCCACAATTACGCAGTCTGCCTACTACGTCATCCTACTTGGTGATGGTCAGATATTTTCCTCCCAACTTTTGGAAAGCCAAACAAAAATCTGCGCAACAACAGACTTGCCACATAAACACAGCGACGTCTTCTCACACAAACTGTTGTGGTGATATTTTGTTTAAATACGTAATGTGTACTGGCTTTGTTACACTTTGTTTAAATACGTCATGTGTACTGGCTTTGTTACACTTTGTTTAAATACGTAATGTGCACTGGCTTTGTTACACTTTGTTTAAATACGTCATGTGTACTGGCTTTGTTACACTTTGTTTAAATACGTCATGTGTACTGGCTTTGTTACACTTTGTTTAAATACGTCATGTGTACTGGCTTTGTTACACTTTGTTTAAATACGTAATGTGTACTAGCTTTGTTTCACTTTGTTTAAATACGTACTGTGTACTGGCTTTGTTACACTTTGTTTAAATACGTAATGTGCACTGGCTTTGTTACACTTTGTTTAAATACGTAATGTGTACTGGCTTTATTTCACTTTGTTTAAATACGTAATGTGTACTGGCTTTGTTACACTTTGTTTAAATACGTAATGTGCACTGGCTTTGTTACACTTTGTTTAAATACGTAATGTGTATTGGCTTTGTTACACTTTGTTTAAATACGTAATGTGTACTGGCTTTGTTACACTTTGTTACACTTTGTTACACTTTGTTACACTTTGTTACACTTTGTTACACTTTGTTACACTTTGTTACACTTTGTTGAACTTTGTTAGATGGGGGTCATGTCTGACGTCAGTTAGGGGCTCGTATTGAATTCAATGGTCGCTGTCTATAAGTTATACAACGGTTGGGCTACATATCGTGGCTACATGTGTTGTGGACTATAAGTCGTATTGAATTCAATGGTCGCTGTCTATAAGTTATACAACGGTTGGGCTACATATCGTGGCTACATGTGTTGTGGACTATAAGTCGTATTGAATTCAATGGTTGCTGTCTGTAAGTTATACAACGGTTGGGCTACATATCGTGGCTACATGTGTTGTGGACTATAAGTCGTATTGAATTCAATGGTTGCTGTCTGTAAGTTATACAACGGTTGGGCTACATATCGTGGCTACATGTGTTGTGGACTATAAGTCGTATTGAATTCAATGGTTGCTGTCTGTAAGTTATACAACGGTTGGGCTACATATCGTGGCTACATGTGTTGTGGACTATAAGTCGTATTGAATTCAATGGTTGCTGTCTGTAAGTTATACAACGGCTGGGCTACATATCGTGGCTACATGTGTTGTGGACTATAAGTCGTATTGAATTCAATGGTTGCTGTCTGTAAGTTATACAACGGTTGGGCTACATATCGTGGCTACATATCGTATGCTACATGTTGTGGGCTATATGTTGTGGGCTACATATTGTGGGCTATATGTTGTGGGCTACATATTGTGGGCTATATGTTGTGGATTACATATTGTGGGCTATATGTTGTGGATTACATATTGTGGGCTATATGTTGTGGATTACATATTGTAAGCTATATGTTGTGGGTTACATATTGTGGGCTATATGTTGTGGGCTACATATTGTGGGCTACACCCCTCACCCCCCCCCCACCTTTCCAGGTAGCTGGACTTCTTAAGCTCACTTGTCACTAACGATTCTAAAAACAGAGCAAGTTAAAAACTGGCATATGTCAACTTGACCCCCACAATACCTACAACATTTAAAGTGACATCTTCAGAAAGGACTGACCCAAGTAGCAACACGCCTACAATTGTGACATGTCACACAGGTTGAAGTGACAGTGATCTTCTCCTGTCACGTGATTATGACCTACATTTTGACCCGTGGGTCGTACAAGTTTCTCACCTGTATCTCGTGACGTCAGGGTCGTCTGCACCAAATCATCCTGTGTCTGGTACCAGAACTTTTCTTATCAGACTTTTTTATTTTCATTTGACATTTGTCGAAAATGCTTGTAAAAATGTGACATTTCACTTGTGACATATCCAAAGTGCTTGTTAAAATTTTACATTCTTTAACTTTAAAAACATCCAAAGTGCTTCCAATAAATACTTCCCTAAATTTAGTCATGTTCAAGTCACCTAAAATTTCTAGGAAGAAAAAAATCTAAAATCCTCATTAAACGTTATTCTGGTTTTTTAAAATTCAGTACCTTTTTATCCGATTACGTCATCCAAAGTATTAGAATTTCCAACCGTCTCTCACTAGTCCACTCTGTATCACGCCCACCACCCCCACCCCACCCCCTCCTGCCCCCAGCCTACAAGAGCCGAAAGAGCCGACGTATCCTAAAACTTCCGTTTATGTGGATTTCTTTACTAGATGCGGCCGATTGACAAGTTCCGTGACAATTTTTTTTTTCTTACCAATAAAGCTTCAACTAAAATTATTTTACAGTTATGGGGAGGTAATAAAAAATAAATCTTGCCATCGTTACAATACTACAGTTGCGCCCCTTTCGCTAAGGATCGTTATTAGCCAAATATTGATTTGTAGCTAGAAAAGAATGAATGAATCGTGCTGGGTTTATTTTAGCACAATGTTTCAGTAACTAACTGGTGTAAGTAGGTGTTTAGCAGGTTATAGGAGGTGTGTAAAGGTGTGTATAGGTGTGTAAAGGTGTGTGAAGGTGTGTAAAGGTGTGTAAATTTGTGTGGAGGTGTGTAAAGGTGTGTATAGGTGTGTAAAGGTGTGTGTAAAGGTGTGTAAATTTGTGTGGAGGTGTGTAAAGGTGTGTATAGGTGTGTAAAGGTGTGTGAAGGTGTGTAAAGGTGTGTAAAGTTGTGTGACGGTGTGTACAGGGGTGAAGACCGTCTTGTCGGTTATTATTCGGTTATATATCGGTTATATATCGGTTATATATTAGTTATATATCGGTTATATATAGGTTATATATTGGTTATATATCGGCCAAATATCGGTTTAGCAAAAGAAGAGGGGGGAAGGGTAAATGATTATTGACGTGTGAAAGTACTGTTACAAGTATATTGAAAATCGAAACGGAATGGTTGTTTACAGTTTTTACATTAGTGAACAAGTCCATAAGATAAATACAAAATGTTGGCGGGGTGGTGTGACGGTGGGGGGAGGGGGGGGGGTACAGGCGAGGCATCACAAATGTCTGACAATATAAGACTGACAAATGGCTCCCTAAAATAATGTAACTCTCACTTCTGACATTAGGCTTACTTCTAACATTAGGCTTACGTCTGACATTAGGCTTACGTCTGACATTAGGCTTACGTCTGACATTAGGCTTACGTCTGACATTAGGCTTACGTCTGACATTAGGCTTACGTCTGACATTAGGCTTACGTCTGACATTAGGCTTACGTCTGACATTAGGCTTACGTCTGACATTAGGCTTACGTCTGACATTAGGCTTACGTCTGACATTAGGCTTACGTCTGACATTAGGCTTACGTCTGACATTAGGCTTACGTCTGACATTAGGCTTACGTCTGACATTAGGCTTACGTCTGACATTAGGCTTACGTCTGACATTAGGCTTACGTCTGACATTAGGCTTACGTCTGACATTAGGCTTACGTCTGACATTAGGCTTACGTCTGACATTAGGCTTACGTCTGACATTAGGCTTACGTCTGACATTAGGCTTACGTCTGACATTAGGCTTACGTCTGACATTAGGCTTACGATGACGATTGCCCAACTCTGGTTACACGTAGGCCTAAATTGACAAACGTGTTTATAAGTATCATGATGACAAGAGTGACGATGACAAGTGTGACGATGACAAGTGTGACGATGACAAGTGTGACGATGACAAGTATGATGAAGACAAGTATGATGATGACAAGTATGATGTTGACAAGTATGATGATGACAAGTATGACGATGACAAGTATGATGATGACAAGTATGATGATGACAAGTATGATATTGACAAGTATGATGTTGACAAGTATGATGATGACAAGATGTGCCCTAAGCCTTATGGAATAGACCTTTCTGCAATCCCACAGGTACGTTCGTATATATTATTTATATAGGGTGTTGTCACGATTTACTTGGTCATATATATATATATATATATATATATATATATATATATATATATATATATATATATATGTGTGTGTGTGTGTATATATATATATTTAGGTATATATATATATATATATATATATATATATATATATATATATAAACAATTTTTTTAAGTTAATTACATAGTAGTTGATTTCTATATACTTATAGATAATTATTAATTGTCTCCTATTTGTACATTATTACATAAAAGCGTTTTATTCAAACATTTTTTTTTTGCGTTTGTTTAGCTTGTCCTTACCCAATGTGCTAGCATGTATAGATAGATTGGGTAGGCTCAAGTCGCTAGACTGATCGTTAGTGAGCGACTTCTAACTGTGGGGTTGGGGTAGTTTATGTAAGGGAGGGTTAGTGTTATCGCATGTTACCTTGTTATAGTGTTGGCTAGGTTTTAGCTATAACATGAGTATAACGTTTAGTACATACGGCTTTTTTCCGGGATGCAATTAGCCTACTTTAATTCGCTATGCTTGCAAAAAAAATGTTTTTTTCATAGTGCTCCAGATATTTTCTTGACCAGGTCAATAATTAATTAGCTCAAACACTGATGCTCTTAATTTAAATCAATCAAAGTAATTAACTGATATCCTATAAGCTAGCAGACTCTGGTCCCACTTCACTGTATGACTCGGTCCTGACAAAAGTAAGTCTTTCATTTTGTAATGGTTTTATTTAACAATGGTTAACGTAATTTTTTTTTTTTTTTTGTAAACAAATATTTGCTAAATTAAAGTATGAATACAATTTAAAATAACTACTTTGTTGTTAAATATTTTGAAAATATTCTTCAAAATGTACTAGAAAATTACTATGATATTGAGCAGAGTTTCTTCCAGGCATCTCTTCGAGCCCCCCCGAAAATTTTTTACCGCCCCCCCGAACGAAATGGAATTTATATAATTTATATAGAAAATATATACTTTTAACAGTGTCCGCCCCCCCGAAGAAAGTTTACCGCCCCCCCCCCCGAAGATTTCAAGTGCCCCCCCCCCGGAGAAAAAAGTCTGCAAGAAACACTGATATTGAGAAACTTAGCAGTGAAAAGTAACAGTACCTAATTTAAAAATGAAAGCGAATTAACTTCAAACAGAACCAAATTTTTCTCAATATCTGTCTGTCAGATGTACAACATTTCGAAATCTGCCGGCTTTAGCTCCAGGTCAGCCGGCCTTAGCTCAAGGTTAGCCGGCTTTAGCTAAAGGTCAGCCGGATTTAGCTCCAGGTCAGCCGGCTTTAGGCCAGATCAGCCGACATTAGCTGCAGGTCATCCGGCCTAAGCTCCAGATCAGCTGGATTTAGCTCCAGGTCAGTCGCTTTTAGCGCCAGGTCCGGCGACTTCAGCTCCAGGTCAGCCAGCTTTAGCTCAAGGTCAGCCGGCTTTAGGCACATTCAGCCGGTTTCAGCCAACCAGATTTAACTCCAGGCAACCGGCGACTATGTGGACGATAATGCTGTTAGCGGCCATGTTGCTATTCCTACAACTTTGATGTCAAACTTATCTGTATAATAGTTGTAAATCTTGTCTGTCTATAATTTGTCTAACTTATCTGTGTGAAATGTGTCAAACCTGTATGTGTGAAATCCTTGAACTCTAGAAACATGCTTTCTGATTAGTGATTTAATAATTAGAACGTGGTTAGTCGAGATTGTTTGGTCTAAAATAATAGGAGGAAGTGATGTTTTAAATGATGTGTTAGATTAGTAGTGATAACTTAACATTGGGGTTTCGTAATGACCTATTTAAACTGTGAGGTTTGTAATGACCTATTTAAAATATGGAGTTTTGTAATGACCTAGTTAAACAATGGAGTTTTGTAATGACCTAGTTAAACAATGGAGTTTTGTAATGACCTAGTATAAACAGTTGGGTTTTGCAATGATCCAGCTGAAAACATACAAAGACGCGTTCACTGCCATATTTTACCCCCCCCCCCCCCACCCACCCCCAACATACACACCAACTGAAGAATATCTATTCGGTCTAATTACATATATCTAATATATATCATGTGTGGTTGTAATAACCGATTTCTAAGATTCCAAAATGTTTATAGCATCAAATTTTATTGGAGGAGAGAGAAAGGCTGTTGTTAGAAATGTATCAAAGCTGTTGGTATTTTGAAATGTTATATAACTTACTTTATATTTGGTGGTAGAGGTCATATATTTGTGTGATATATGTAAACTACTGTAATATAATGTTAATTTCTGACCACAGCTGGTAAATATATCCCAAGACAGAGAACTCTCCAGAACGTCAGTTGAGAGTATACAAATCTAAAGACAAACGTACAAACCTGCAGACAAACGTACAAACCTGCAGACAAACGTACAAACCTGCAGACAAACGTACAAACCTGCAGACAAACGTACAAACCTGCAGACAAACGTACAAACCTGCAGACAAACGTACAAACCTGCAGACAAACGTACAAACCTGCAGACAAACGTACAAACCTACAGACAAACGTACAAACCTACAGACAAACGTACAAACCTACAGACAAACGTACAAGTAAGGATCAGCTATACCTCCTGTTTTTGTTGCCTGCACTTATTACTTTCTGTTTGTGACGTAGGAATGTCTCGTCAATCAATTGTGTTTATTATTGTGTTTATTATTGTGTTTATTATTGTGTTTATTATTGTGTTTATTATGGTGTTTATTGTTGTGTTTATTATTGTGTTTATTATTGTGTTTATTGCTGTGTTTATTATTATGTTTATTATTGTGATTATTATTGTGATTATTATTGTGTTTATTATTTTTATTACTGTGTTTATTATTGTGTTTTTATTGTGTTTATTATTGTGATTATTATTGCGATTATTATTGTGATTATTATTGTGTTTATTACTGTGTTTATTGTTGTGTTTATTACTGTGTTTATTATTGTGTTTATTATTGTGTTTATTATTGTGTTTATTATTGTGTTTATTATTGTGTTTATTATTGTGTTTGTTAGTATGTTTATTATTGTGTTTATTATTGTGTTTATTGGTTTAACAACGTATTCGTTAAATTAGCATTTTAATTTTTGTCATGTAATTTAATTGATAATCATTTTATTACATTTAAAACGTGGGACTGAAATCAGGACAATAACACTTATCTTCAAACCGTGTTTCTATCAAAGACAACAACTGACGTGTTTATATCAAAGACAACAACTGACATGTTTATATCAAAGACAACAACTGACGTGTTTATATCAAAGACAACAACTGACATGTTTATATCAAAGACAACAACTGACGTGTTTATATCAAAGACAACTGACGTGTTTATATCAAAGACAACAACTGACGTGTTTATATCAAAGACAACAACTGACATGTTTATATCAAAGACAACAACTGACGTGTTTATATCAAAGACAACAACTGACATGTTTATATCAAAGACAACAACTGACGTGTTTATATCAAAGACAACTGACGTGTTTATATCAAAGACAACAACTGACGTGTTTATATCAAAGACAACAACTGACATGTTTATATCAAAGACAACAACTGACGTGTTTATATCAAAGACAACAACTGACATGTTTATATCAAAGAAACAACTGACGTGTTTATATCAAAGACAACAATTGACATGTTTATATCAAAGACAACAACTGACATGTTTATATCAAAGACAACAACTGACGTGTTTATATCAAAGACAACTGACGTGTTTATATCAAAGACAACAACTGACGTGTTTATATCAAAGACAACAACTGACATGTTTATATCAAAGACAACAACTGACGTGTTTATATCAAAGACAACAACTGACATGTTTATATCAAAGAAACAACTGACGTGTTTATATCAAAGACAACAACTGACGTGTTTATATCAAAGACAACAACTGACGTGTTTATATCAAAAACAACAACTGATGTGTTTATATCAAAGACAACAACTGACGTGTTTATATCAAAGACAACAACTGACGTGTTTATATCAAAGACAACTGACGTGTTTATATCAAAGACAACAACTGACGTGTTTATATCAAAGACAACAACTGACGTGTTTATATCAAAGACAACAACTGACATGTTTATATCAAAGAAACAACTGACGTGTTTATATCAAAGACAACAACTGACATGTTTATATCAAAGACAACAACTGACGTGTTTATATCAAAGACAACAACTGACGTGTTTATATCAAAGACAACAACTGACATGTTTATATCAAAGACAACAACTGACGTGTTTATATCAAAGACAACAACTGACGTGTTTATATCAAAGACAACAACTGACGTGTTTATATCAAAGACAACAACTGACATGTTTATATCAAAGACAACAACTGACGTGCTCACTGTGGTTTCAGGTTTGGAAGATGAAAGAATTGCTGACGCTGCTGTTGTTGTCTGCAGCTGTGAGAGCTGAGTCCGGCTGCCAGTACACCGGCTGGACGCTCAGCTTCGACAAGGAGGGTGAGTCCAGGTGCTCCGGCTACAATCACGTGATCAGGGGGTTCTACAGGAGCAACCCCTCGGGGGGCCATGACGAGATAACCCTGTTGGAGAAGGCGATGTGCTGTAGCCCGTCTGGGTTCTGGTCACTCTTCGACACCCAGATCTTCTACGCTGACTGGTACCCGGTGCTAGACGGCCAGTACACCTGGGCTACCTGCCCCAATGGTTTCTTTTTGAACGGGATGTTCAGGAGCGCCGGCAACCCGGCAGGTCTACACGATATCGAATACGCCAGATGTTCCAAGCCCTCCAACCACCCGTATTACACCGGAGAGTGCTATGACCAGGACATCAAAATATGTTTTGACCACCAGAACCTGTGCCAGTGTAAAGATGAGTACTACGTCACGGGAATCTACAAGTCCGACTGCGACCAGCTGCACTGTCTAGAGAAGCTCAAGTGTTGTCGTATGGCTGACGGTAGAGATGTCCTGGACGGGGAGGCTAAGGTGAAAACTTTGGTAATGGATCTGAGCATGGCGGACATTGCAAATCTGGCCAACATGCTGGGTTATGGGTGGTGTGACAGTTGTCGTGCAACATGCTGGGTTATGGGTGGTGTGACAGTTGTCGTGCAACATGCTGGGTTATGGGTGGTGTGACAGTTGTCGTGCAACATGCTGGGTTATGGGTGGTGTGACAGTTGTCATCTGGCCAACATGCTGGGTTATGGGTGGTGTGACAGTTGTCATCTGGCCAACATGCTGGGTTATGGGTGGTGTGACAGTTGTCATCTGGCTAACATGCTGGGTTATGGGTGGTGTGACAGTTGTCATCTGGCCAACATGCTGGGTTATGGGTGGTGTGACAGTTGTCGTGCAACATGCTGGGTTATGGGTGGTGTGACAGTTGTCGTGCAACATGCTGGGTTATGGGTGGTGTGACAGTTGTCATCTGACCAACATGCTGGGTTATGGGTGGTGTGACAGTTGTCATCTGGCCAACATGCTGGGTTATGGGTGGTGTGACAGTTGTCATCTGGCCAACATGCTGGGTTATGGGTGGTGTGACAGTTGTCATCTGGCCAACATGCTGGGTTATGGGTGGTGTGACAGTTGTCATCTGGCCAACATGCTGGGTTATGGGTGGTGTGACAGTTGTCATCTGGCCAACATGCTGGGTTATGGGTGGTGTGACAGTTGTCGTGCAACATGCTGGGTTATGGGTGGTGTGACAGTTGTCGTGCAACATGCTGGGTTATGGGTGGTGTGACAGTTGTCATCTGGCCAACATGCTGGGTTATGGGTGGTGTGACAGTTGTCATCTGGCCAACATGCTGGGTTATGGGTGGTGTGACAGTTGTCATCTGGCTAACATGCTGGGTTATGGGTGGTGTGACAGTTGTCATCTGGCCAACATCCTGGGTTATGGGTGGTGTGACAGTTGTCGTGCAACATGCTGGGTTATGGGTGGTGTGACAGTTGTCATCTGGCCAACATGCTGGGTTATGGGTGGTGTGACAGTTGTCATCTGGCCAACATGCTGGGTTATGGGTGGTGTGACAGTTGTCATCTGGCCAACATGCTGGGTTATGGGTGGTGTGACAGTTGTCATCTGGCCAACATGCTGGGTTATGGGTGGTGTGACAGTTGTCATCTGGCCAACATGCTGGGTTATGGGTGGTGTGACAGTTGTCATCTGGCCAACATGCTGGGTTATGGGTGGTGTGACAGTTGTCGTGCAACATGCTGGGTTATGGGTGGTGTGACAGTTGTCGTGCAACATGCTGGGTTATGGGTGGTGTGACAGTTGTCGTGCAACATGCTGGGTTATGGGTGGTGTGACAGTTGTCGTGCAACATGCTGGGTTATGGGTGGTGTGACAGTTGTCATCTGGCCAACATGCTGGGTTATGGGTGGTGTGACAGTTGTCATCTGGCCAACATGCTGGGTTATGGGTGGTGTGACAGTTGTCGTGCAACATGCTGGGTTATGGGTGGTGTGACAGTTGTCGTGCAACATGCTGGGTTATGGGTGGTGTGACAGTTGTCGTGCAACATGCTGGGTTATGGGTGGTGTGACAGTTGTTATCTGGCCAACATGCTGGGTTATGGGTGGTGTGACAGTTATCATCTGGCCAACATGCTGGGTGATGGGTGGTGTGACAGTTGTCGTGCAACATGCTGGGTTATGGGTGGTGTGACAGTTGTCGTGCAACATGCTGGGTTATGGGTGGTGTGACAGTTGTCGTGCAACATGCTGGGTTATGGGTGGTGTGACAGTTGTCATCTGGCCAACATGCTGGGTTATGGGTGGTGTGACAGTTGTCATCTGGCCAACATGCTGGGTTATGGGTGGTGTGACAGTTGTCATCTGGCTAACATGCTGGGTTATGGGTGGTGTGACAGTTGTCATCTGGCCAACATGCTGGGTTATGGGTGGTGTGACAGTTGTCGTGCAACATGCTGGGTTATGGGTGGTGTGACAGTTGTCATCTGGCCAACATGCTGGGTTATGGGTGGTGTGACAGTTGTCATCTGGCCAACATGCTGGGTTATGGGTGGTGTGACAGTTGTCGTGCAACATGCTGGGTTATGGGTGGTGTGACAGTTGTCATCTGGCCAACATGCTGGGTTATGGGTGGTGTGACAGTTGTCATCTGGCCAACATGCTGGGTTATGGGTGGTGTGACAGTTGTCATCTGGCCAACATGCTGGGTTATGGGTGGTGTGACAGTTGTCGTGCAACATGCTGGGTTATGGGTGGTGTGACAGTTGTCGTGCAACATGCTGGGTTATGGGTGGTGTGACAGTTGTCGTACAACATGCTGGGTTATGGGTGGTGTGACAGTTGTCGTGAAACATGCTGGGTTATGGGTGGTGTGACAGTTGTCGTACAACATGCTGGGTTATGGGTGGTGTGACAGTTGTCGTGCAACGTTTGTTGGTGATGTGACCTACTTAGGTCTAGTAATGTTTTATTTTGACATTGTTATAATACCATATATGGTCGATGGTGCAACAACCGGGTTTTTTCCACTGTCTTACTAAGAGAGTCTAAGACTCAGAAATTTTCCATCAAGATCTGATTGATTGATTCAGACCAGATGACCACCCCAACCAATGGCCACATGAGTTGAGGGTAACCTCCCCTGTTGCCTAATTCTATAACTGGATCGCCCACAGGCGGCACGAGGCAGTCCATCTTGACCGGCAGTCCACCTTGACCAGGCCGTCCATTTTGTCCGGCAGTCCATTCTGACCATTTGAACGTGAGAGAACTTAAGTCCTGAGTGTGCTATGCATTCCTAAGTTGTTTAAGTGTTCTACTGTTATATTACTTGTCGCCAAGTGATTCTTGATGCTATAGCAGTGTTATGTGACCTGTGGCTATTTTTATAAAGAGTTAGAATCTGTGATAGTATTTTTTCTTACGCTTTGTAAGTTGGGTTTTGTTATTTTCTAAACTAAATATTTTATCTTGTTTAACCTTGTGTTCTGCCACAACTGTGTTCACTTATTAAAGGTTGTATGCAGATTGAATGAGTTGTTAACTTCAATAGTTTCACTAGTTTTCCCTAGACCTCGAAATCGAGCCCTAGTGAGTTGTTGAGTTAGTTTTCATTCAGTTAGGCTTTAGGTCATTTGCATATAACCCCAAGAAAGAATCCGGGGGCGTTCATCATCTATCTGGCTTGTAGATAGGTGTCCGTTACAGTGAAGATTGTAGACGTCAAGGGGACAAATGGGTGGCTGATACGGCCGGACCTTGTGACGGCTACAAGAGTGACCAAAGACTGGCCATGGACTACAAAGACTGGAGTTTTGGAATGATGGACATCAAATACGGTGAACCCATCATTGAGGAACTGATACCACAGTCCATAGACACCGGCACCTTCATCAACAACGACGCGTCGGAAGCCACCAAGACAATCACCCGCGCTGAGACCATCGTCCGCACGGTGACCCACACCACCACCAGTTCATGGAAGGACAGCAGCGAGCTAGACATGACGTTTGGCTACAACCCGCCACCTATCGGCGGAATGACCAGCAGCGTGGCTTACAAGTTCAACTACGAAACGTCTTCCACGACCCTGGACGAAACCAAGAACCAACAGAGTCAGACTTTCACCGTGAGCACATCTAAGACTTTAAAGCCTTACAGTGCCGTCAAGTGGGACCTGATACTATCTAAGACAAGAAGCACCGCCACCTACACCGCCACCATCATCACCAAGTTCAGCACGGAGCTACAAGGTTTCCTTCGATGGGGAGGCGGGGCAAGCGAGCCCGACACCAACTACCACTACAAGTACCGAGGCAGCGAAGACAGACCCACCTTCAACTACAGGTTCGGCAACTCTTCCATGCCGTTCTACACTGCCCTGAAGCGTGAGTGTAACACCAACTCCCTACCCTGGCTGTGGAATGATATGGCCACCGCCTACCCCGGGGCCAGAGATCTGATTGGCTACCTGAGTGATGAGAAGAGATACGTCTTCATCCTGACTGGCAAGTTTGAAGACGTGGTCGGCACCCAGGTGCAAGTACGCTGGGACGAGATACCCCTGCCACCCACGGGAACAGAACAGGAAGTTGCAAAAACTGGAACTTTTGTAGCAAGAGCTGGTCCCAAGGATAAGCCAGCTACATCAGTGCCAGCACCCAAGGTGGACATTCGAAAATCTCAGGTCAAGCTGGGGAGGTACAGGTCTAACTCCACCATGGTCTAGAACAGCTGTCATGGCAATACTAGGTCTAATTCATCTTATGTCTAGAACAGCTGTAATGGCAATGAAATATTCAGAATGAATAAAACCTAACCTGTACGTTTGAATTGTTTTGCTTCAATGTTTATCTCATAATTTAAACACCTTGTTGTGACTACAAGTCAGTAAACATTCCATTATACGGTAAAGGTCACCGGTCAGGACTCTAGAGTTCCTGGATGAACTTCAATTTTTTACCGCCCCCCCCCCCGAACGAAATGAAATTTATATAATTTATATAGAAAATATATATGCTTTTAACAGTGTCCGCCCCCCCGAAGAAAGTTTACCGCCCCCCCCCCCCCCCGAAGATTTCAAGTGCCCCCCCGGAGAAAAAAGTCTGGAAGAAACACTGTAAGGGATGAATTAGGTTTTAGATTTAGATTATCTATGTTATATGTTACTAACTCTAGCCAATGTAAAGAATAAAATATAATCACAATTTTCTTAGTATTTTGAAAAAATTGCTTTTTAAATCTATAGCAATCTTTAGTATGCGTTCATTGGGTGATAGTTCAAAGAATCAATGGGGGTTTTCTTTCAATTCGCTTAGTAAAAAACCGTTCAACGTTAAAAACAACAATCCTAAATGACGCCAGCTAACAATTGAATTCTTAAAAAGTTAAAAAGTATTTTTTATCATATCTGCTGTAGGACTTTTATTCAAAAATTCTCAAAGCTAGTGGCGGAAGCCCCCCCCCCCCCCCCCCCCCGAATTTTATTTTACGGCACTAAAAAAATACTTAGGAAAAAAAATGATCTACGTTGTTTATTCGTAGTCGAATTTCGTACCATATAATTAGCTGCCCCCCCCCCCCAGCGGCAGGATAGTTCACCCACCCCATGTATATACCAATAGACATGTTGACATGAGTAAGATTGTGTAGCGGTAGTGCTTTAAACCCAATTAAATTGTGTTACCGCCACTATGACGTCTGTCACCACTTAAGCTAAAAATAGCACAAGACGGCGTAAATGAATTCCCGGATTAAAGTTTCTTAGTCTGGAGTTAGTCGAAGTTGATTGGTCGTCAGGGATCTCTTGAACACACCAATACGACTTGTGTACGACACGGACATACACGGGTACACAGTTGTCTCTTACACAGTCAGTCTGCTACACACAGTCAGTCTGCTACACACGGTCTCTACCACACACAGTCTACTAGACAGAGTTTGTCTACTACACGGAGTTAGTCTACTAGACGGAATTTAATCTACTAGACAGAGTTTGTCTGCTATAGACTGTCAGAAGGCAATGTGCAATTAGATGACCGGTGCTGCTACTCAGAGATCAACATCCTTTTATTAGACACCAGTGGCTAGACAGAGCTACCTTCAACGGTCAGGTATGTTAATGAGTTGATTAGTACACACACATTAAGAAATGAGGCTTAAGACAGCGCATGATTAACTTACTTGACATTTTATTATAAGCGATACATATATAAAATATCATATTGATGTTTTAATAGTGTAAATTAGGCATGTATATATGCATAAAAATCTAAGCCTTAGTTTTGCTGTCTGACTTTATACAACTATCAAGTACTGATGAAACTGTACATAAGGCCAACTGTACACAAGGCCAACTGTACACTGGGCCAACTGTACACTGGGCCAACTGTACACTGGGCCAACTGTACACTGGGCCAACTGTACACTGGGCCAACTGTACACTGGGCCAACTGTACACTGGGCCAACTGTACACTGGGCCAACTGTACACTGGGCCAACTGTACACTGGGCCAACTGTACACTGGGCCAACTGTACCCTGGGCCAACTGTACCCTGGGCCAACTGTACACTGGGCCAACTGTACACTGGGCCAACTGTACACTGGGCCAACTGTACACTGGGCCAACTGTACACTGGGCCAACTGTACACTGGGCCAACTGTACACTGGGCCAACTGTACACAGGGCCAACTGTACACAGGGCCAACTGTACACTGGGCCAACTGTACACTGGGCCAACTGTACACTGGGCCAACTGTACACTGGGCCAACTGTACACTGGGCCAACTGTACACTGGGCCAACTGTACACTGGGCCAACTGTACACTGGGCCAACTGTACACTGGGCCAACTGTACACAAGGTCATCTGTACACACGGCCCATGTACACACGGCCAACTGTACACACGGCCCATGTACACACGGCCAACTGTACACACGGCCCATGTACACACGGCCAACTGTACACACGGCCCATGTACACACGGCCAACTGTACACACGTGCAGGCTGTACACACGTGTCAGCTGTACACGTAGATTTATAATTTACTTCTGTTTACTAAGTTGAGCTTAAAACTTTCTAAGAATTAAATTAACTCATCCAGTGTGTGTAAGCATGCCTGTATGTGTATGTGTGTTTGTATGAGTGTAGTATTCATGTGTGGGAATGTTTGTGTGTGAGAGAGTTCGTATCTGTATGTGTGTAGGAGTGGGTGTATGTGTGTGTTTGAGTTTGAGTTTGAGTACGTGTGTGAGGGAGTGTATGGCAGGGGCGGAACTACAGTGCCGCCAGACCCCGCAATGCGGGGGGGCCCACACCATTTAGGGGCCCATAGCCGACCATAATACATTTTTTATAGTTAAAGAAATAATTTTCTTGCATTTTTGACTTGACGGTAAAAGCTTTTGTATATAACAAACAGATCTACTACAGTAGTGATGTTATACAGTAGTTAACACATGGTGTTGCGTAACAACAAAAAAATATGCCTAAGCTGTAGTGTGAAAGATAGGCAATCGATCAAACCACTTCCATGACTTATTTCCCTTTTTTAGAAAGTCAAATATGTGTGTTTTTTAAGAAACTTTAAATAGATTTGCACTAAACAAATTAAAAAGCAATTACCTCTCTTAATTAATATTAAAAAAACATAATAAAGAATGACATTGAATAAAAAGAAAATGTATTAAAAACTAATAATATAAATAAAAAAAAACTTTAAAATAAACATAAGGTGAGAAACCATTACACATACAAAGCTTTCATGCTTCATATTCTTTTGAATGCAAAGTAGCAATGAAATTTTGTTAGACATTGAAATAGAGAATTTCAAACCAGACTAATAGCACTCACAAAAATTTAAAAAAAAAAAAAATAAAATAAAAAAAATAAAAAAAAAAAAGTAGATGTATCATGTTTTAATTGTAAAATATAAACTAAGAATTTTTTATATTTTCAAATTTCGAACAAGCTCGTATTGAGTATTCTATGTTCGTATTTTCCAATACTGTTAATATATATATATATATATATATATATATATATATATATATATATATATATATATATATATATATATATATATATATATATATATATATATATATATATATATAAATAACTATGGGGCCCAAAAGTTTTTTTTGCGGGGTGGCCCAATTTTTCTAGTTCCGCCACTGGTGTATGGCTGTATATATGTGTGAAATTGAGTGTAAGCCACATGTGTCTGTATGAGTGTTTGCATGTGTGGGTATGTGTCTGAGTGTGTGCATGTGTGTGTGTGTGCGTGTGAGTGTGTGAATGTGTGTGTGTGTGTGAGTCAGATCCGCAGGAAACAGGTTCTCACTCATCCGATGAAGATCAAATCCCCCAGTGAACAAATCAATTGTGTAGCAACCAGGGGGAGATACTCTCGATCATCTGATCTTTGAACTACACGGTGTTTAAATATAGCAACACACACATCGCACTCACGCGACACACATTTCAATAGGTTCATTACAAGACAGCTTTGATATGATTGTGGGGGTTTTTTCATGCAACCAAGAACATACTGGATAACATGACACTTTGTTCACAGAATTATATCAACACAGACCCGTCACAATATCAACACATGATGTCACAGAACGAAACACCGCTGCCCAGGTGTAAAAAATGTTTAGTGGTCGGTGACAGGTGAGTACACCACATCACCACATCACCACAACATCACAACATCACATCACCACAACACCACATCACCTCAACATCATCTCATCACCACAACATCACCACAACATAACCACATCACCACATCACCAAATCAACAAAACATCACCACATCACCACAACATTACAACACCACCACAACATCAAATCACATCACCACATCACCACATCACCACAACATCATCACATAACCACATCACCATAACATTACACACCACTGCATCATCACAACATCACATCACATTGCCACAACACACACACCACAACATCACATAGCCAAATCACCACAACATCACATCACCACAACATCACATCATCTCAACATCACATCACCACAACATCACATCATCTCAACATCACATCACCACATCACCACAACACCACAACATCACAAGACCACAGCATCACAACACCATAAATACAACAACACCTCCCCATGACAACACTATACGTCCTATCCCTATATTTCAGCGGTGTAGGCAAGTCTCCCTTACTCCACACTTACTTCACTGGCATGTTCCCCACAGAAACTGCACCGTTCCAGTAAGTCAAAGAATTGCTTATACGTTTGCATCATAATCTATTTCAGGAACACAAGCAACGTTTTCTACTCGTTACAATCATTTGTTGAACCTGATTCCTCGTTCACTCATTAAGGTCGAAACGTCTGAGCTACATTTCGACCAGTTTAACGAACCTATTTGTTTTGTTGTTTAAAAAACTATCAATGTTCTTTGAATGCATCAACAAGTTTTACTCTTAATTTCAAGATTTAAAACGAATTATTTTAAAATGTGGTCTACTATCACTGGTAAAATATGTCAACATATGATTAACTTTTAACGTTTAAACGGTGTTGATAAAATATGAAAGTTATGACATATTGTACAAGTAATAGTTACATAATTATGTTGATATATCGCTTGCAGGTTCCAGAAAACGCCATATGAGGTGAAGTTTCTAGAAAAACACATTTGTCTCGACCTATGGGATTCATCAGGGTGTGACGACTACGACCGTCTGAGGTTTCTGGAATATGAGGGGGTGGTAGGTTTAAGTAGGTTTCTGGAATATGAGGGGGTGGTAGGTTTAAGTAGGTTTCTGGAATATGAGGGGGTGGTAGGTTTAAGTAGATTTCTGGAATATGAGGGGGTGGTAGGTTTAAGTAGGTTTCTGGAATATGAGGGGGTGGTAGGTTTAAGTAGGTTTCTGGAATATGAGGGGGTGGTAGGTTTAAGTAGGTTTCTGGAATATGAGGGGGTGGTAGTTTTAAGTAGGTTTCTGGAATATGAGGGTGTGGTAGGTTTAAGTAGGTTTCTGGAATATGAGGGGGTGGTAGGTTTAAGTAGGTTTCTGGAATATGAGGGGGTGGTAGGTTTAAGTAGGTTTCTGGAATATGAGGGGGTGGTAGGTTTAAGTAGGTTTCTGGAATATGAGGGGGTGGTAGGTTTAAGTAGGTTTCTGGAATATGAGGGGGTGGTAGGTTTAAGTAGGTTTCTGGAATATGAGGGGGTGGTAGGTTTAAGTAGGTTTCTGGAATATGAGGGGGTGGTAGGTTTAAGTAGGTTTCTGGAATATGAGGGGGTGGTAGGTTCATGTTTAAGTAGGTTTCTGGGATATGAGGGGGTGGTAGGTTTAAGTAGGTTTCTGGAATATGAAGGGGTGGTAGGTACCTGACCAAACTAGTGTATTGTGGTGTATCTTATTTTAACTAGTAACCTGACCAAACTAGTGTATTGTGGTGTATCTTATTTTAACTAGTAACCTGACCAAACTAGTCTATTGTGGTGTATCTTATTTTAACTATCACTAAATCTGTTCATTAACGCTGTCCATTGGATTAGGATGTTGTCGTGATCTGTTTATTTGACTTATGATGTTAACGTGATCTGTCTATTTGACTTATGATGTTGTCGTGATCTATTTGATTAGGATGTTGGCGTGACCTATTTGACTTAGGATGTTATCAAGATCCTTCTATTTTATTTAGGATGTTGTTATAATCTGCTTCGCTATAAATAACAGAGACAGTGCCGACAACGTCAGGTCTAAGGTGAGTACATCGGCAGTCCTAGCACGTGCACAAACGACTCACGACACCACACATCACAAGACTCACCACACCACACATCACAGTACTCACGACACCACACATCACAGTACTCACGACACCACACATCACAGTACTCACGACACCACACATCACAGTACTCACGACACCACACATCACAGTACTCACGACACCACACATCACAGTACTCACGACACCACACATCACAGTACTCACGACACCACACATCATTGTACTCACGACACCACACCACACACAACACTGCACACATCCCCACACACCACACACATTAAGCACATCACAGTACTCACGACACCACACATCACAGCACAACACACAACATTGAACACCACCCTCACACACCACACACATTAAACACATCACAGTACTTACGACACCACTCACCCATCACCACACCACATCCCCACACACCACACACCTAAACTGGGGGTGGGGGACGGGGTGATAGGTGACAGATGATAGGGACAAGTTGACCAAACCACGCCCACTTTTGAATGACAAGTTGACCTAACCACGCCCACTTTTGACTGACAAGTTGACCTAAACCCGCCTACTTTTGACTAACAAGTTGACCAAACCACGCTTACATTTGAATTACAAGTTGACCAAACCACGCCCACTTTTGATTGACGTGTACTTCCAGTGGTTTCCTGAGGTCCGCTCACACGCTAGACACGCCCACGTCATACTGGTCGGCACCAAACTAGACCTTAGGCTGCAGGCTGACGTCATCAGTCTTGGACAGGTAGAGAGATTTTGTCAGGTGGTACTAGGTAGCTACAGGCTACATGCCTATGTTCATGCTCTATAAACTCCAGTAGCAATTGCTGCTAATTTTCCTGCTACGGTTAACCATCCTCTTAATGTCTTCAGTGGTAGCCCATCTATAGGCAACATAAACAACTCAGTATTTCATCGACGTTGGCCTTGTATAGCTAAAGCATTTTTTATTGCAAAAAATAAAAGCAGTTTTTAAAAAAAATTCATTGTCTTTAAAATTATTTTGTCAATGAATTAACAATTTTATAATTTAGAAAAAAGATCAATCCAAACGTCGATTAATGTATTTTTGTTATTTCAGTTTGTATCGAAGAAAGAAGGGAAATCACTCGCTAAAACAATTCGAGCTTTGAAATATTTCGAGTGCTCTGCCTTACACAACCTTGGTTTGAGGGAGGTGATCGAATACCTAGCCAAGGCGAGTTTACGACGGAGAAAAAAACAAATGAAATACCCGACACACTGTGCTGTTTTGTAGTCGAGTCTTATAGCATTGTGCACTATATACTCAAAGTTTGTAGCAAACGGAGACTTAAGACAAGTAGTTTCATCATAGCAAGCAGAACTATGAATGTACTCTAAGTCTAACCTGAAAAAAATCCCCACAAAGACTAATTCCTTACACCACAAACCACACTGACATAAACAACCACATTAGCATAAAAAACACTGTCACACCAACAACCACATTAGCATTAAAAAAATACAACACTGTCACACCAACAACCACATTAGCATTAAAAAAATACAACACTGTCACACCAACAACCACATTAGCATTAAAAAAATACAACACTGTCACACCAACAACCACATTAGCATTAAAAAAATACAACACTGTCATACCAACAACCACATTAGCATTAAAAAAATACAACACTGTCATACCAACAACCACAGTTGTACCAACAACAACATTCACATTAGCAACGAGTCATACAACCACAGCAACAACCACAGTCACAACAAAAGTCAAAGTCACAAACGAAAGTAAAAGCAAATCAAGTCAGAAATGAACATACTCGAGATATGTTAATATTTTTGTTTTATTTTACGCTATATGTTCCCCATACAGGTAGCAAACAATTATGTCTCATATACCTTGTACAAAGAAAGTATTGTAATTATGCATAAGTCTATCAACGTTTAATAAAATCTAGGTGTGTGTGTATGTGAGGGAGAGAGATAGAATATCGGAATGTTTGTGTATTTGTTCGTTTTTTTATAAAATAATTTGTAAAACACTCTAGTCCAATAAAACAATGTCACATGTGTAATACAAGACACTACTCCAGTGCATGACACATTGAGAGTAGACTATAATATTATAAACAGATGCTGTTGTTTTATTGTATATATAATCAGCCAACTTTTGCTGTTGTTTACTCATGCTTCAGAAATAAAACTTTGTAAATAACGTGTAAGAATATCTTTACTCTGTTTTCTTCTCCAACAAGAAAAGTGTCAGAACTCTCTTTAATTCAGGCGAGATGTCACAGCGAGTTAGTTGTATAAAAAGGAAGTGTTTTTTTTCTTCTTTCTACATGAACCACAGCGAGTTTGCAAATCCACCTTGTTTCTGTAGGTATCACTTCACCATTGAAGAAGTGGGCAGTGTGTTAATGAGTCCACAAGAAATGATTTGAACATAGTGATACACACGTAATATGCACATAATGATACATGCAATACGCATGATAGACACCAACCCTGAGTGATGAAAAACATTAGTTTTTTTACTTTCTCGCACATATAACCAGAACATATACAACATATTCTTTCTGCCACCTCTTTCATAAGGTGGGCAAAGAGACAGCGAAACCTTTCCCCTTCCTAAAAAGGTGAAAACAAAAAATAAAAATCCTTTATAATTTGAAGCTGATCAAAATATAATAAACAAATTTGATTTCTTTAACTTTAACATGTTTAAGCAAAGAATGATTTTATTGATTATATTTATATTGAGGAAAGTAAGCTTGTTATATATATATATGTGCTATATTCAACGGTGGATGTTTGATTACTAAATGAGCTGTATTCTTTGTGGATTTGACTATTGTAAATAAAGTTGTGAAATGAAACAGCCGTTCATCAACTATCTTTGACAGAAAGAACTCCCAATAACATCTAGTTGTCGCCACCACAACATAGATTGTTACATAGGTGTCAAAAATAGTCGCCACCACAACATAGATTGTTACATAGGTGTCAAAAATAGTCGCCACCACAACATAGATTGTTACATAGGTGTCAAAAATAGTCGCCACCACAACATAGATTGTTACATAGGTGTCAAAAATAGTCGCCACCACAACATAGATTGTTACATAGGTGTCAAAAATAGTCGCCACCACAACATAGATTGTTACATAGGTGTCAAAAATAGTCGCCACCACAACATAGATTGTTACATAGGTGTCAAAAATAGTCGCCACCACAACATAGATTGTTACATAGGTGTCAAAAATAGTCGCCACCACAACATAGATTGTTACATAGGTGTCAAAAATAGTCGCCACCACAACATAGATTGTTACATAGGTGTCAAAAGTGGCCAACGTTTGTTACAGGAGGTAATAGGCTTGCTAGGTGGAATATTTACACACGAGTTAGAACCCCTGGTATGTTTTACAGGCTTGCCAGGTGGAATATTTACACACGAGTTAGAACCCCTGGTATGTTTTACAGGCTTGCCAGGTGGAATATTTACACACGAGTTAGAACCCCTGGTATTTTTTACAGGCTTGCCAGGTGGAATATTTACACACGAGTTAGAACCCCTGGTATGTTTTACAGGCTTGCCAGGTGGAATATTTACACACGAGTTAGAACCCCTGGTATGTTTTACAGGCTTGCTAGGTGGAATATTTACACACGAGTTAGAACCCCTGGTATGTTTTACAGGCTTGCTAGGTGGAATATTTACACACGAGTTAGAACCCCTGGTATGTTTTACAGGCTTGCCAGGTGGAATATTTACACAAGAGTTAGAACCCCTGGTATTTTTTACAGGCTTGCTAGGTGGAATATTTACACACGAGTTAGAACCCCTGGTATGTTTTACAGGCTTGCCAGGTGGAATATTTACACACGAGTTAGAACCCCTGGTATTTTTTACAGGCTTGCTAGGTGGAATATTTACACACGAGTTAGAACCCCTGGTATGTTTTACAAACTAACTTCCTGAATGACATGTACCAATCCAGACATGCTGATGAGAATTTTAATTTTATATTTTCTGATGTTGACCTACTTTCAAATCTTGTTAATTGTTTATTAATTTTGTTTATTATTGTGTCTTTCATATATTGGAAGTTCAAATTGTTATTCTACACTGTACGCTCACATACATTTTTAAAAAAATTCATAGTAGACTTGATGACATCTGTACAATGTCATCAAATACCTTAATCAAATTAATGTCTGTATAATATGTCATCAAATCATCAACTACCTTAATCAAATTAATGTGTGTGCAATATGTCACCAAGTCATCAACTACCTTAATGATTAATGTCATAATCCAAACCAAAATCCCATGAGAAAGCAGACATTAGTTTTTTAATGTTTTAGAGCAGATTTAAAAACAATTTTTTTCTTGTTTTCCAGGTGCTCTGTAGACTTCTTGTTTCATATTTGACAGCTGTTTTTTGACATTTGACTGCTGTCTTGTGACATTTGACTGCTGTTTTGTGACATTTGACTGCTGTTTTGTGACATCTGACTGCTGTTTTGTGACATTTGACTACTGTTTTGTGACATTTGGCTGCTTTTTTGTGACATCTGACTGCTGTTTTGTGACATTTAGCTGCTGTCTTGAACCACTAGACTGCTGTCTTGAACCTCTTCATCGCTGTCTTGAACCACTTCTTGATACCAGAGCTGTGTCGTGACTTCCTCCACTGAGGTGTTGTTAATTAGCTGGCACCACCTAATTAGCCAATCAAAAGTAAAGTTTTACAAACGTTTTCTGATAGGCCTAATTATATATTATTTAACTCAACTGTTAGTGTATAATTACTTAGGTTAAAAACTAATCAATCAATTTGGACTAAACAATGCTACCAAAGAGTTGACAAATAAATCAAACAAATATAAAAAATAATTTACAGCAAGAAGCTTTAAATGCACTGAAAATAAGAAAATAAAACTAATTTGCAATCTTTAATCAAAGGTTTTGTCACTAAAATATGTAAAACATCTCATGAGCAGCCAAAGCTTTTATTAAAGAAAGCAAATTAATTTCATTATCTTATTTTCAGTACATTTTAAAACTTGTTGCTATAAAGGTTTTTTATATTTGTTTTATTTCTAAGTGTTTTATTTTCTACTTTTTAATGATTTCTAATTTATGAAGTCGACAAGACAAAAAATATTTGTTTTAAAAACCACCAGTAGCTCGCAATATGTGCAAGATGTTTATCAGCCGCGTGAAAGCAGCCGTCCGTGACCGTACTATACACTACAGACCAACAGTTTTGTTACCTCCCCTTAGTTTCAAATAGTTTAAAAAACCTTATTATCTTCACTAAATAGCCTTCACTAGACCGACCAGCTATTGTAAAAATTCTCGTGATCACATTCTAGCTAGTTATCTCCCCTTCTGTTATCAAATATAGTAATCTATTCAGTGATTTAATTATGTTATCTCCCCTTAATTTCAAAACCATCTAATTAATTTTATATGACTAATTAAACATCTATTTGAATTTAAAAAATAGATAGACTTGTATGGTCATTGAAGTGGAAAGTATCTAGAAAGATTGAATGAAATTGATGCATTAGAAGTGGGTCAAAATTACGTTCCAAGATTTGCCACAAACTCACAAACAGACATTGCAAACGAAATAAAAGCTTGTAAAAATGTGTTTACTTCTGACAGAGTTCTGTAGAAGGTGCTGAGAACTCAAATAGCTGAGGACTTCTTTCAGATACTTCACTTCTCCCAGATGTAGATACTACAAAGAAACTTGTGCTATCTGGGGAAATACAGATCAATAATCACCCACAATCAAACAGGTAAAATCTTATCTAAATTTAACAGATGAATAATCACCCACAATCAAACAGGTAAAATCTCATCTAAATTTAACAGATGAATAATCACCGACAATCAAACAGGTAAAATCTCATCTAAATTTAACAGATCAATAATCACCCACAATCAAACAGGTAAAATCTTATCTAAATTTAACAGATGAATAATCACCCACAATCAAACAGGTAAAATCTCATCTAAATTTAACAGATGAATAATCACCCAAAATCAAACATGTAAAATCTTATCTAAATTTAACCCCTTTCCTAAATAACTGTAATAAAATTGTCTGTAACAAAGCTACAATTGCTGAAACTTTGAGACGTACCTGAAGCTAAAGTCTGGGCAAATAAATGATTCCTCTCCAGCACTGGATGGATGACTTGCTCACCTGACACATGTGACTTGAGGACATACCTGTCGTACAGGTGGAGTAGAGTGGTCAGTGGAGCGGAGGTGATGGCTAAGTTGTTAACTACTTTTTATAAATCTTGATTCAAACATGGGATCACTTTAACCTGGGATTCTTTAACCTACCCCCACCACTCACCCTGCCTACCCCCACCACTCACCCTGCCTACCCCCACCACTCACCCTCCCTACCCCCACCACTCACCCTGCCTACCCCCACCACTCACCCTCCCTACCCCCACCACTCACCCTGCCTACCCCCACCACTCACCCTGCCTACCCCCACCACTCACCCTCCCTACCCCCACCACTCACCCTGCCTACCCCCACCACTCACCCTCCCTACCCCCACCACTCACCCTGCCTACCCCCACCACTCACCCTCCCTACCCCCACCACTCACCCTCCCTACCCCCACCACTCACCCTCCCTACCCCCACCACTCACCCTCCCTACCCCCACCACTCACCCTGCCTACCCCCACCACTCACCCTCCCTACCCCCACCACTCACCCTCCCTACCCCCACCACTCACCCTCCCTACCCCCCCCCCCCCCCCCCACTCACCCTGCCTACCCCCACCACTCACCCTGCCTACCCCCACCACTCACCCTCCCTACCCCCACCACTCACCCTCCCTACCCCCACCACTCACCCTCCCTACCCCCACCACTCACCCTGCCTACCCCCACCACTCACCCTGCCTACCCCCACCACTCACCCTCCCTACCCCCACCACTCACCCTGCCTACCCCCACCACTCACCCTCCCTACCCCCACCACTCACCCTCCCTACCCCCACCACTCACCCTGCCTACCCCCACCACTCACCCTCCCTACCCCCACCACTCACCCTCCCTACCCCCACCACTCACCCTGCCTACCCCCACCACTCACCCTGCCTACCCCCACCACTCACCCTCCCTACCCCCACCACTCACCCTCCCTACCCCCACCACTCACCCTGCCTACCCCCACCACTCACCCTGCCTACCCCCACCACTCACCCTCCCTACCCCCACCACTCACCCTCCCTACCCCCACCACTCACCCTCCCTACCCCCACCACTCACCCTGCCTACCCCCACCACTCACCCTCCCTACCCCCCCCCCCCCACTCACCCTGCCTACCCCCACCACTCACCCTGCCTACCCCCACCACTCACCCTCCCTACCCCCACCACTCACCCTCCCTACCCCCACCACTCACCCTCCCTACCCCCACCACTCACCCTCCCTAGCCCCACCACTCACCCTCCCTACCCCCACCACTCACCCTCCCTACCCCCACCACTCACCCTCCCTACCCCCACCACTCACCCTCCCGAACCCCCACCACTCACCCTGCCTACCCCCACCACTCACCCTGCCTACCCCCACCACTCACCCTCCCTACCCCCACCACTCACCCTGCCTACCCCCACCACTCACCCTCCCTACCCCCACCACTCACCCTGCCTACCCCCACCACTCACCCTCCCTACCCCCACCACTCACCCTCCCTACCCCCACCACTCACCCTGCCTACCCCCACCACTCACCCTGCCTACCCCCACCACTCACCCTCCCTACCCCCACCACTCACCCTCCCTACCCCCACCACTCACCCTCCCTACCCCCACCACTCACCCTCCCTACCCCCACCACTCACCCTACCTACCCCCAACCTGCCTACCCCCACCACTCACCCTCCCTACCCCCACCACTCACCCTGCCTACCCCCACCACTCACCCTGCCTACCCCACCACTCACCCTCCCTACCCCCACCACTCACCCTCCCTACCCCCACCACTCACCCTCCCTACCCCCCCCCCCCACTCACCCTCCCTACCCCCACCACTCACCCTGCCTACCCCCACCACTCACCCTCCCTACCCCCACCACTCACCCTCCCTACCCCCACCACTCACCCTGCCTACCCCCACCACTCACCCTCCCTACCCCCCCCACTCACCCTCCCTACCCCCACCACTCACCCTGCCTACCCCCACCACTCACCCTCCCTACCCCCACCACTCACCCTGCCTACCCCCACCACTCACCCTGCCTACCCCCACCACTCACCCTCCCTACCCCCACCACTCACCCTCCCTCCTCTGTGTGAAGCAGCACCAGTCTGTCCTGGAACAACATGACCCACAATTCCACTGGGTGTCCACTCACAAGACTCCAGGTCAAGCTGCCCTCAAAAACCAGATCTGTGGCCTGCAGGCTCTGAAACACAAGCTCTCTCTTACAACTAGATGTAAAGTTTGTTTCTATTGTTGTTTAGAAAAAAGACCAACAAGGCACTACAAAAAAGACCAACAGAGCACTACAAAAAAGACCAACAAAGCACTACAAAAAGACCAACAAAGCACTACAAAAAAGACCAACAAGGCACTACAAAAAAGACCAACAAAGCACTACAAAAAAGACCAACAAAGCACTACAAAAAGACCAACAAAGCACTACAAAAAAGACCAACAAGGCACTACAAAAAAGACCAACAAAGCACTACAAAAAAGACCAACAAAGCACTACAAAAAAGACCAACAGAGCACTACAAAAAAGACCAACAAAGCACTACAAAAAAAGACCAACAAAGCACTACAAAAAAGACCAACAAAGCACTACAAAAAAGACCAACAAAGCACTACAAAAAAGACCAACAGAGCACTACAAAAAAGACCAACAGAGCACTACAAAAAAGACCAACAAAGCACTACAAAAAAGACCAACAAAGCACTACAAAAAGACCAACAAAGCACTACAAAAAAGACCAACAAAGCACTACAAAAAAGGCCAACAAAGCACTACAAAAAAGGCCAACAGAGCACTACAAAAAAGACCAACAAAGCACTACAAAAAGACCAACAAAGCACTACAAAAAAGACCAACAAGGCACTACAAAAAAGACAAACAAAGCACTACAAAAAAGACCAACAAAGCACTACAAAAAAGACCAACAGAGCACTACAAAAAAGACCAACAAAGCACTACAAAAAAGACCAACAAAGCACTACAAAAAAGACCAACAAAGCACTACAAAAAAGACCAACAAAGCACTACAAAAAAGACCAACAAAGCACTACAAAAAAGACCAACAAAGCACTACAAAAAAGACCAACAAAGCACTACAAAAAAGACCAACAAAGCACTACAAAAAGACCAACAAAGCACTACAAAAAAGACCAACAAAGCACTACAAAAAAGACCAACTTGGATAAGCGTCAGGGCTGGGTCTGCCATCAGCTCCACCTGGAAGTGAATCATCTGGTCTTGTATGACCTTCACCTTCTGGGTGTGTGTGCCACAGGTGGGGTCAAGATTCACCTGGCTCAGTATCTGTAGACAATGTTTCATGGCAGTCTGCAGTTCTGTAGCCTGGGTATGTGAGGCTGGAAAATATTTACTTTAGTTCTTTACACTGAGTAGCCTATATGATACTGGAAAATATTGTATTTACTGCAAGCTTTTCTAATGTAACTATAATGACTGAAGCTGTGTTCTTGGATTATAAAAATAGCTTAATAAAGGTTTGTTATTGTGCTAAAGTATGGCTTAATGAAGATTTATAATTGGGTTATAAATGTGGTATAATTAAGGTTAAAATAGGGCTATAAATGTGGTTTAATGAAGGTTTATAATAGGGCTATAAATGTGGTTTAATAAAGGTTTATAATTGGGCTATAAATGTTGTTTACTTAAAGTTTATAATTGGGCTATAAATGTGGTTTAATAAAGGTTTATAATTGGGCTATAAATGTGGTTTAATGAAGGTTTATAATTGGGATATAAATGTGGTTTAATAAAGGTTTATAATTGAGCTATAAATGTGGTTTAATGAATGTTTATAATTGGGCTATAAATGTTGCTAAATTAAGGTTTATAATTGGACTATAAATGTGGCTAAATTAAGGTTTATAATTGGACTAGAACTGTGGCTAAATTAAGGTTTATAATTGGACTATAAATGTGGCTAAATTAAGGTTTATAATTGGACTATAAATGTGGCTAAATTAAGGTTTATAATTGGACTAGAACTGTGGCTAAATTAAGGTTTATAATTGGACTATAAATGTGGCTAAATTAAGGTTTATAATTGGACTATAAATGTGGCTAAATTAAGGTTTACCACCCCGGTGGAAACTCAGTCACATGTTGGAATAGGACGTTAATGAACAGAAGTCTCAAGGAGGACAAGAAGGCGACTTGTAGGAAAAATCTACCGGCTGTAGTAAATGCATACAATAGCTGTATTTATTTAAGTAGACGTTACAGCCCATATTGCCTTTTCTTCGGTCATCCTCCAGGGCTGCTCATCGATTTTGCTTTTGGGGTCGTTGTGGGAGGGAAGAAACAGTGAACACCGACACAATATATACAAAGACTAAAAACCCAACTGAAGTCGGCATATGGACGAGCAGCTGAAATGGCGTCCAAAGCGGCTGACCGAAACAAAGCCATGTATGATATTTCCGCGCGCGATTATGTTGGATGCAAACCAATTTACAATATCTGTATTACCTAATCAAGATTACACTTTGTGTTACCTAATCAAGATTATCGTTTGTGTTACCTAATCAAGATTATACTTTGTGTTACCTAATCAAGATTATCGTTTGTGTTACCTAATCAAGATTATCGTTTGTGTTACCTAATCAAGATTATACTTTGTGTTACCTAATCAAGATTATACTTTGTGTTACCTAATCAAGATTATACTTTGTGTTACCTAATCAAGATTATACTTTGTGTTACCTAATCAAGATTATACTTTGTGTTACCTAATCAAGATTATACTTTGTGTTACCTAATCAAGATTATCGTTTGTGTTACCTAATCAAGATTATACTTTGTGTTACCTAATCAAGATTATCGTTTGTGTTACCTAATCAAGATTATACTTTGTGTTACCGAATCAAGATTATCGTTTGTGTTACCTAATCAAGATTATACTTTGTGTTACCTAATCAAGATTATCGTTTGTGTTACCTAATCAAGATTATCGTTTGTGTTACCTAATCAAGATTATCGTTTGTGTTACCTAATCAAGATTATACTTAGTGTTACCTAATCAAGATTATCGTTTGTGTTACCTAATCAAGATTATACTTTGTGTTACCTAATCAAGATTATACTTTGTGTTACCTAATCAAGATTATACTTTGTGTTACCTAATCAAGATTATCGTTTGTGTTACCTAATCAAGATTATACTTTGTGTTACCTAATCAAGATTATCGTTTGTGTTACCTAATCAAGATTATACTTTGTGTTACCGAATCAAGATTATCGTTTGTGTTACCTAATCAAGATTATACTTTGTGTTACCTAATCAAGATTATTGTTTGTGTTACCTAATCAAGATTATCGTTTGTGTTACCTAATCAAGATTATACTTTGTGTTACCTAATCAAGATTATCGTTTGTGTTACCTAATCAAGATTATACTTTGTGTTACCTAATCAAGATTATCGTTTGTGTTACCTAATCAAGATTATCGTTTGTGTTACCTAATCAAGATTATCGTTTGTGTTACCTAATCAAGATTATACTTTGTGTTACCTAATCAAGATTATACTTTGTGTTACCTAATCAAGATTATCGTTTGTGTTACCTAATCAAGATTATACTTTGTGTTACCTAATCAAGATTATACTTTGTGTTACCTAATCAAGATTATCGTTTGTGTTACCTAATCAAGATTATACTTTATGTTACCTAATCAAGATTTTTCAGTTAGTTACCTAATAAAGATTGTAGAGGGGAGTCAGTTTTGGGCAGGGGGTAGTTGAACATCTGGTCAAGCATATCAGTAGCCTGCATCAGTTCATCACTGTCATCCATCAGTCCATCACTGTCATCCATCAGTCCATCAGTGACATCATATGGTCCATCTATTACATCCAGATCCATATCTGATGTTTTTTGTCTGATGAAAAAATTCAAATCATCCTTGGTTTGCTCCATTATGCAGAATACATATTGTAGACTACATAAATAGATAAACAGAATGCATCTTCTAGACTACCTAAATAGATCAGAATACATCTTCTAGACTACATAAATAGATAAAGAGAATATATCTTCTAGACAAAAATAGTTGGATAAACTTGAGACATTCATTGTTGTAGCAAATATTAAACGTATCACTTTTAAACTGATCTAACATGTATGAGATACGTGAGCCATGCATCTAGGACAAAGAACAAATATTAAACTTATCACTTTCCCATTGATCTAAAACGTATGAGATATGTGAGCCATGATTCCAGGGCAAAGACAGTTAAGATATGGCTTACTTAGTGTTGAAACTTTTTTTAAGTTTCATTTTTTCTGACTGTTCATTGATCAAGCCACACCACCTAAGGGAAATAACCAAGTAATTACAACTCAAAAATAAGGTAACCACAATTATAGAACATTGTTAGATTTATTAAATAAGTTTAAGTTGTATTGCTAAAGAAAATCAAAAGTTAGCTATCAGAATTTTTTTAAATGTTAGATTAGGTAAATAAAGTTATGTCATGTGACAATGATATACAAAACCTAACCGGTCACGTGAGACAATGATATACAAAACTAACCGGTCACGTGAGACAATGATATACAAAACCTAAACTGTCACGTGAGACAATGATATACAAAACTAACCAGTCACGTGAGACAATGATATACAAAACTAACCGGTCACGTGAGACAATGATATACAAAAACTAACCGGTCACGTGACTGTTGTGATTCAGTTTTTAGCTCAAACAAAAGGGGCCTCAACTGCGACATGTACACTAGAAAAAATGTGGTTTTGTCTGAGGAATGTACATCATAAAATATGTGGTTTTGTCTGAGGAATGTACATCATAAAATATGTGATTTTGTCTGGGGAATGTACATCATAAAATATGTGGTTTTGTCTGGGGAATGTACAACAGAAAAAATGTGGTTTTGTCTGAGGAATGTACATCATAAAAAATGTGGTTTTGTCTGAGGAATGTACATCATAAAATATGTGGTTTTGTCTGGGGAATGTACATCATAAAATATGTGGTTTTGTCTGGGGAATGTACAACATAAAAAATGTGGTTTTGTCTGAGGAATGTACATCATAAAAAATGTGGTTTTGTCTGAGGAATGTACATCATAAAAAATGTTTCGTCTGAGGAATGTACATCATAAAAAATGTGGTTTTGTCTGGGGAATGTACAACAGAAAAAATGTGGTTTTGTCTGAGGAATGTACATCATAAAAAATGTGGTTTTGTCTGAGGAATGTACATCATAAAAAATGTGGTTTCGTCTGAGGAATGTACATCATAAAAAAATGTGGTTTTGTCTGAGGAATGTACATCATAAAATATGTGGTTTTGTCTGAGGAATGTACAACAGAAAAAATGTGGTTTGGATTGGGGAATGTACACCAGAAAAAATGAGGAGAATACAATGGGATGTTGTTTGTAAACTAAACCTGTGTTTTGTTTAGGGGAATACACCAGATTTTGGTTTATAAATTTAAAGTGGTTTTGTCTGAGAAGTAAACAAAAATATTTACACTTAATAAAATCCTAGCTTTCACTAAGTATGATGAAGTTCCCATATAGATCAAAATTGTATCAAAAAGTATATCTTGAGGGTATGCAATCATGAGTACATTGATTGTTATAGGACATGTATTGATAACAGCTTAAACATGACATGTAAGCACTAGATACAGTTAGAAAAAATTTCATAAAAAACGTTTTAACATCAAGCTTTTAAGTAATAATGCACTAAAAATTAGTAAATAAAATATACAATACTATTTAAATAACTATATGGAATTGTGTGAGTCACTTTAATATCTTTGGATGCCTTTACTAATATTTAGGAAGAGACCTACGCTTTTCTTTATAGCTATTTAAATAGTAGTGTATAATTTATTTTCTACTTTTTAGTGCATTATTACATAAAAGCTTGTTATTAAAACTTTTTTTTTTGGAATTTTTTTTCAGTACTTTGAATTTTCAAAATTTACAATAGAGTTGCATGACTAAAAACCATGCGCACCAAATGAACGTGATGACGTGTCTAATAGTGCGGAATAGTTTGATGAGAAAGCCTACTAATTTGGACACAATTTTAATTTATTCATAAAAAATTAATCAGGCCAAACCATTAAGTCAAATTTAATGTCATGTTGCATTGTCTTCATGTCTTGACCCACGTGCCATCGTTGAAACAAATCTGTCAGTTAGAAGTGTCCAAAATTTTGTTTGGGCGTTTCTATCTAGACTTACGACAGACAGAGACAGAGAGTTAAATAAAAGCTTGTAAAAAGCAACACAATTCAATTAAAAGAAAGAAAATGGCCAAACCTGCAGCTGATACCTTGGCCAAAAGTTTTTCGGCCACCAACACAGGATAATATAAGGTCTTGAGGCCATTGACTATATCTTGATGACATTTCAATAAATACCTGTAAATACACAACATTTACCTGTAAATACACAACATTTACCTGTAAATACACAACATTTACCTGTAAATACACAACATTAACCTGTAAATACACAACATTTACCTGTAAATACACAACATTTACCTGTAAATACACAACATTTACCTGTAAATACACAACATTTACCTGTAAATACACAACATTTACCTGTAAATACACAACATTTACCTGTAAATACACAACATTTACCTGTAAATACACAACATTTACCTGTAAATACACAACATTTACCTGTAAATACACAACATTTACCTGTAAATACACAACATTTACCTGTAAATACACAACATTAACCTGTAAATACACAACATTTACCTGTAAATACACAACATTTACCTGTAAATACACAACATTTACCTGTAAATACACAACATTTACCTGTAAATACACAACATTTACCTGTAAATACACAACATTTACCTGTAAATACACAACATTTACCTGTAAATACACAACATTTACCTGTAATTACACAAAAGATACCTTTATTTACTTAACATAAAAAACATACATTTTAATTGCACAACACATACCTGCAATTATACAATACATAAATGTAATTATACAAAACATACATTGTAATTACACAACACATAACAGCGATTACACACTATGTACCTACACTAACAGTTTGAATCTGAAATCTCCAAACAAAAAAAACCTTCACATATTACAGTTGGACAGTTAACGCAGTGTGGGAGGAATTAAAGTGGTCCTGCTGGACTTCTAAACACAGGACATGATAGGACCCAACAGGACATGATAGGACCCACAGAACATGATAGGACCCACAGAACATGATAGGACCCAACAGGACCTAAGAGGACATGTTAGGAGCCAACAGGACATGATAAAACACAGCAGGACACAAGAGGACATGATAGGACCCACAGGACATGATAGGACCCAACAGGACATGATGGGACACAGCAGGACATGATAGGACCCAACAGGACATGATAGGACCCAACAGGACATGATAGGACCCAACAGGACATGATAGGACCCAGCAGGACCCAAGAGGACATGATAGGACCCAACAGGACATGACAGGACCCAACAGGACACAAGAGGACATGAGTGACCACCCACTTGTCTCTATACACCTGCAGCAGGACCATCTTGTCCCCCATCAACAGAGCCAGTAGCTCCAGTGGCTGGTGTGTGTGACGTATCCATGTCATGTGACCATCATGTGTTAAGTTCTCCCTCACTAGGTCCAGGGTCTGTAGAGAAAAAGAAAATGCCCTACACACTGATATCAATTTTAACTATTTATTAAAGAAAGATAATTACTTAGGTTTAAAGAAGGAAAAATAAAGAGTTGATGTTTTCAGGCAAAAAATACGCTTCTGTCTGGAAAACTAATGATAAGCATTACTTTCCATGAGTTCTTATTCATAGAAAACGAAATTACATCCATTTTTCTACAAAAATCATGGATGGGATTAGTCTGAGTATAAATACTTTAATGTTAGTTAATTTTAAAATGTGGCGACATAAACATTTAGACGCGGCCGTTGAACGGCATTCCGCAGTGTTAAAAAAAAAAGCTGTTTTGCGAAATGTTTTATAAAAAAAATTCTATAATATACAAAATCAATCTAATGTGAAAACTACAAGAAGTAAATACAATGAAAAATGGCCGCTCTAGCGTTATCATGACCTAGATTTAAGATTAAAAACTTGGATTCCAAAAACAACGAATTAAATAGAGACAATTTATTGGAAGCTGGGCGCGTTGTTACGGTATGGCAGGCCGACCTGTCAACCGTTGAGAGCATCGTTACGGTCTCAAAGAGTTAAGAAACACATGAGCTCTACTTCACCTGTTCTATGGATCTTTAGGTCTAAAAGGGGAACTAATGTTACTTTACATTTTTAAAATGGTAGATATAGCCAGCTGGTTGAGACAACCAACTATTTAAATCAGAAGATGACAACTCCTTGCCTTTATATGAGATAACTCTGGAACATTGCCAGCATCAATGTCACGTCTCTCCAATCTATTTTTGATTTCTCTCAGCTTGGTGAAGGATGTTAAATCAGGCAATTGACTGTTGACCAGTGCAACAATTTCTTTACATCGCTGGACAGCGCATTCAAGGTACTTGGACTCATCTGTAGAGGCTGTAGACAGACAACTGGAATTTCTGATAGGGGCTGTTTATAGAACACACACAGACCAACATATAGAACAGACACAGACCAACATATAGAACAGACACAGACCAACATATAGAACAGACACAGACCAACATATAGAACAGACACAGACCAACATATAGAACAGACACAGACCAACATATAGAACAGACACAGACCAACATATAGAACAGACACAGACCAACATATAGAACAGACACAGACCAACATATAGAACAGACACAGACCAACATATAGAACAGACACAGACCAACATATAGAACAGACACAGACCAACATATAGAACAGACACAGACCAACATATAGAACAGACACAGACCAACATATAGAACAGACACAGACCAACATATAGAACAGACACAGACCAACATATAGAACAGACACAGACCAACATATAGAACAGACACAGACCAACATATAGAACAGACACAGACCAACATATAGAACAGACACAGACCAACATATAGAACAGACACAGACCAACATATAGAACAGACACAGACCAACATATAGAGCAGACACAGACCAACATATAGAACAGACACAGACCAACATATAGAACAGACACAGACCAACATATAGAACAGACACAGACCAACATATAGAACAGACACAGACCAACATATAGAACAGACACAGACCAACATATAGAACAGACACAGACCAACATATAGAGCAGACACAGACCAACATATAGAACAGACACAGACCAACATATAGAACAGACACAGACCAACATATAGAACAGACACAGACCAACATATAGAACAGACACAGACCAACATATAGAACAGACACAGACCAACATATAGAACAGACACAGACCAACATATAGAGCAGACACAGACCAACATATAGAACAGACACAGACCAACATATAGAACAGACACAGACCAACATATAGAACAGACACAGACCAACATATAGAACAGACACAGACCAACATATAGAACAGACACAGACCAACATATAGAACAGACACAGACCAACATATAGAACAGTCACAGACCAACATATAGAACAGTCACAGACCAACTTGTGGGTGGAGCAATCCATACTTACACTGTGTGTACTTGATTAAAGTGCTTATCAGAAGATGGTACTTGGTCAATCTCTGCATCTGACAAGCCAGCATATCTTTGAGCTGTCTGCGTTGGCATCTTGGGTTCAATTCAATTTGCTTCAATTACATGAAAATAATACATTTTATTTTTATGTAACTTTTCAAAAGTGCATAACATTATGTCATTTTAGTTCCTGAAAGATGTCTGGAAATTTAGCAATCCTTCTTATTTTTTTATTTAGTCTTGGAATTTATATAAACAATGTGTGTTTATGTCTATGTAAGTCTTTCGCTTTATGTATATATACAACTAAATATAAATATATATATTATATATATTTACAAATATAAAGAAAAAGAGAGCGACTAAGAGAGAAATGTATCTATGTAGACACAGTGTTTCACCCTAAGTGAGCTAGGACGGTCACATGTGACGTTAAATCTCTGTCTATCAGTACTACTCTAATTAACCAATTAACGAATGAGTTACAGCTGCATCTTGCCATCCCTACCTGAATGAACTCTTGAAGCTTTTTATCTGTTTTCACCAAGATATTCAGATCCTCCAAAGCAAATTGTTGATCTTTGATGAACTCGAGGGATATTTGGCCCAACTTTTCACCTGAAGTGCCTTCAAACTTTACGTAAACATAAAATAGCACATTGACATAATTCAAGTCATATTGTATTAGTTACAAGTTGACTAAAAAAACATATTACAGTACAGTATCTACAGATCAACGTTACATCACAGTCTATTCACAGTTCTCATAATTAACTTCCAATAAAATGTTCATACATTTTAGCACATGATAGATGGTTACTTGAAACTTTGGTAAGAAGAGATATTTACTATAACACTTTTATAATAGTGTGCTAGAAAAATAAGACCTAGATCAGCAACTTTTCCATGTTCAATTATCTTAAAATTAAAAAACAAAAAGTAACCAAAACTCTAATTATCTAATTTACTAATTATCAGACAACAAAGTGATTCTTGTCTAGATTCCAATACTTGAATTAACTTCCCTTATGGAAATGTTTTCATTAAGGGAAAAAACAATTATGTTTTAAGTTTTAAGTAGGCCTACTCACTTAATGATTAATGACCTAATTAATGTCTAAGTCAATTTATTATATATAATTCTTATAAACTTATAAACTAATATTAATATAGACTATAGATAGATAGGGCCTATCTACTTCAATTAGCCAAGTGAGAATCTAATGATTTGATGTTGAATCAATTTATTTATTTGATATAGATCTATTTCCATTGTCACATTGTGGCTGGCTTTCTTTATGGTTTTGGAACTATAGATTTCTAGATTCTAGATCCATCTAAAATCTAAATCTAGAACTAGATCTAGATCTAGAGTTGTAACTTAAATTTTACTTAAATGGAGGCGAGCGAGTTGACGAGATTCCTTCCATAATGTTGTTGTCATGGAATAAAAACGTGTTTTTTTAGATTTAGACAGTAAAAAAAAATAAAAAATAAAAACTTAAGCCTAAAATTAATTTAGAAATTTTATATTCTTAGAATAAATGCTATAAAAGTTGCAAATCCAGAGAACTTGAAAATAATTTGTTGAGTTTAAGGCTACATTTCTATTTATTTTCATCAAGCCTAAGTTATAACCGGATGTTTCACTTTCGTAAGACAAATATTGATTGGCTGAACAGTAACTTAGTAATCGATAACTATTTGTTTACAAAACTTTGCAGATCAAGTTTTTAAATTACAATGCAAATTTAAAACCCCATGACCTAGTTTTCTATTTTTAGCTTACAATGTGTACAATAAAATCTATGGCAGCCTATCCAATAGCAGGATGCCATGTTTATGTCGCCATTACACGTGAAAACCAAATTGTTTTTGCTTTTTTTTTAATTTTTATTTAGTTACCGAAAATATTATAAACATCAAATACATCCAAACTTTAGTAAAGTCCGAAAAAAACCAGACAGGCAGGATTTTATAACCATATTAATTGTAACTACGCCGTGCATGATTTTTTAATGAATTTATACACCTCTCAAATACCTTTGAGACTTTTCTCGCTGGTGTCCATTAATGCCTAGCCTGAGGTCTATCTTGGTCTTGAAACTTAAGACTATCTTCAGCTAAGCCGCTGCTGATGATTGAATAATAGACACATTCTCTAGCCTAGTAAGATCTACTAATAGAAATAAACTAAATCTAGTATAGATCTAGATCACTTCGACTAGATCTAGACTCTAGATCTAGAATATAGAATCTAGTTACAAGTTAAAATACAACTAAGATTCCTAACCAAATTGTACAAGACACAGCCTACTTCCGGTTGTCTACCATCGGTGTTGACTGAATCTCTGATGGCCGTGACAAAAGCTCCTAGTGACAGCAAAAACAACAAAAATTTGGTTACCAGAGATTTGAGTTTTTATTGGAATAATACAAATGTAAAATTATTTGACATATTTTAGTGTTAACTGCCTGCTGCAACTGTATAAACAGTTGCTGCCGTTTTGTTAGCAGCCTACTGTCCTGACGTCAACAGCCTACTGTCTTGACGTCAAAAGTCTATTGTCCTGACGTCTAACAGTCTACTGTCCTGATGTGACGTCAACCGCCTACTGTCCTGACGTCAACCGCCTACTGTCCTGACGTCAACCGCCTACTGTCCTGACGTCAACCGCCTACTGTCCTGACGTCAACAGCCTACTGTCCTGACGTCAACCGCCTACTGTCCTGACGTCAACCGCCTACTGTCATGATGTGACGTCAACCGCCTACTGTCCTGACGTCAACCGCCTACTGTCCTGACGTCAACAGCCTACTGTCCTGACGTCAACCGCCTACTGTCCTGACGTCAACCGCCTACTGTCATGATGTGACGTCAACCGCCTACTGTCCTGACGTCAACCGCCTACTGTCCTGACGTCAACAGCCTACTGTCCTGACGTCAACCGCCTACTGTCCTGACGTCAACCGCCTACTGTCATGATGTGACGTCAACCGCCTACTGTCCTGACGTCAACCGCCAACTGTCCTGACGTCCACCGCCTACTGTCCTGACGTCAACCGCCTACTGTCATGATGTGACGTCAACCGCCAACTGTCCTGACGTCCACCGCCAACTGTCCTGACGTCCACCGCCTACTGTCCTGACGTCAACCGCCTACTGTCCTGACGTCCACCTACCGTGCCACGTCATCAGCTCCTGCAGGCGAGGGAAAAGTTTCCTGGCCAAACCAGCGACGACGTCCTGTTGTCTCAGCATGGGTTGACGGAACAGTCGGTCTAGGGCCCTCAAGCATTTGACGTGGGTCCTCTCTGTTTCCAGGATCTCTGGGGGTCAAGGTTATCAAGGCTCATCATTGGTCAACGTAAATACACATCATTGGTCAAAGTAAATACACATCATAGGTCAAAGTAAATGCACATCATTGGTCAACGTAAATACACATCATTGGTCAAAGTAAATACACATCATTGGTCAACGTAAATACACATCATTGGTCAAAGTAAATACACATCATTGGTCAACGTAAATACACATCATTGATCAACTTGACTCAGTCAGGACTGATTGGTACACAAAACAAAAAGCGACTGACCTTTGATGACCTCTCGACGCTTGACCTCCATGGGTTCAAGGTTGGGTTTGATTGAGTAGAGTGACGTCATTTGGGGATAATCGTCGTTATCTGAATCATCTTGTTCAGACTTCCGTTCCATAGTAGGTACTCGACTTTTACTTTAAGTAGAAGAAATCTACACGTATGTATGTGTATGCATGTATGTAAATATATATATATATATATATATATATATATATATATATATATATATATATATATATAAAGATATGGCATATCGTTCTTATCTAGATTGTATAAAAGAGGAAATCTATACTTACTGGACAGAGTTATATGCGGTATGTACCTGAAAAGCAGAACAGCTATAAAGTATTCATATGCACCTGGATTAGGCATCTATGGAAACGTGAAATGAAAATCTGACTTCCCTGTTGTACGCTCACAATTCTCACAATACACAACGTTAAGACAACAGCGTGACATCAACATTTAAGACAGCTGTATGACAACATGTAGCTCATACATACCTGGAGTTATCTAACACCGCAAGTATCTGCAACCTAAGTACACATATTGTTTTACATCTAGGACAATGGACACGGATCACTGACTTTAACTACCCTTAATTCTTTTTTTAACAAACTTTCTCGGCCAACCGTACCTATTTTAAAAGTTTTATTTAACGCCCCAAAAGGTAAATAAAGTATATATATATATATATATATATATATATATATATATATATATATATATATGTATATATATATATATATATATATCTATATATATATATATATATATATATATATATATATATATATATATATATATATATATATATATATATATATATATATATATATATATATATATAATATCAAGACAGATAGAGGACAGAAAATGGTAGATAAATAGATGGATATCGATATAGGTATAAAGGTGTTTTGCGGTGTCTATAATTGGTTCACCCAATATTTGTTACACCTAACCATCATTCAATACATTTGGTCGATGGGGGGGGGGGGGGGGGAATGTTATACTCATGTTCCAACATTAAAAACACCTCCACGGGAATTTTACGTTTTGAGAATGTGTATTAATTCCCCGTTGAATTCGAACTAAAAACACACTGACAGCACAAGTTTGATTAAAATGTAATCAAACCAAATCTTACTTCCGGTTTTTTTCTGCCCACCGGATACAAGCTTGGCTCCGACCTGGAAACGTAAAAGATATTCAACTATAGCTGCAGCTAGTAAAATATGTTCAACTATAGCTGCAGCTAGTAAAATATATTCAACTATAGCTGCAGCTAGTAAAATATATTCAACTGTAGCTAGTAAAATATATTCAACTATAGCTGCAGCTAGTAAAATATATTCAACTGTAGCTAGTAAAATATATTCAACTATAGCTGCAGCTAGTAAAATATATTCAACTGTAGCTAGTAAAATATATTCAACTATAGCTGCAGCTAGTAAAATATATTCAACTGTAGCTAGTAAAATATATTCAACTATAGATGCAGCTAGTAAAATATATTCAACTATAGATGCAGCTAGTAAAATAGATTCAACTATAGCAGCAGTTAGTAAAATATATTCAACTGTAGCTAGTAAAATATATTCAACTATAGATGCAGCTAGTAAAATATATTCAACTATAGCTGCGGCTAGTAAAATATGTTCAACTATAGCTGCAGCTAGTAAAATGTATTCAAGTATAGCTGCGGCTAGTAAAATATATTCAACTATAGCTGCAGTTAGTAAAATATATTCAACTATAGCTGCAGTTAGTAAAATATATTCAACTATAGCAGCAGTTAGTAAAATATATTCAACTATAGCAGCAGTTAGTAAAATATATTAAAGTATAGCTGCAGCTAGTAAAATATATTCAACTATAGCTGCAGTTGGTAAAATATATTCAACTATAGCTTCAGCTAGTAAATTATATTCAACTATAGCTGCAACTAGTAAAATATATTCAACTATAGCTGCAGCTAGTAAAATATATTCAACTATAGCTGCAACTAGTAAAATATATTCAACTATAGCTGCAACTAGTAAAATATATTCAACTATAGCTGCAGCTAGTAAAATATATACAACTATAGCTGCAGTTAGTAAAATATATTCAACTATAGCTGTAGTTAGTAAAATATATTAAAGTATAGCTGTAGCTAGTAAAATATATTCAACTATAGCTGCAGCTAGTAAAATATATTCAACTATAGCTGCAGTTAGTAAAATATATTCAACTATAGATGCAGTTAGTAAAATTTATTCAGCTTTTATTTTCTACACATGCACCTGAAGATGCAGCTAATGTGCTACACATAAATTAAACGATGTAGCTAATGTGCTACACATAAATGAAACGATGTAGCAAATGTGCTACACATAAATGAAACGATGTAGCTAATGTGCTACTTACCGTGCACGCTGACTTGCGCTGAGTTTCCCAGATGTTCTCGATCCCACAGCTTTAGTCCGTGACTCATACAAGCTGACCAGGTAACTGACCGATTGTACCAGGGGGCTATAGCCTGGGGGTGGTAGACGTGATAGGTCAACAGCAACAACCACAGCAACAACAACAGTAGCAACAACAGCAACAGTAGCAACAACAACAGTAGCAACAACAACAGTAGCATCAACAACAACAACAACAACAACAGTAGCAATAACAACAGTAGCAACAACAACAGTAGCAACAACAACAGAAACAACAACAACAACAACAGCAACAGTAGCAACAACAACAACAGCAGCAACAACAACAGTAGCAACAACAACAGAAACAACAACAGTAGCAACAGCAGCAACAACAACAGAAGAAACAATAACAGAAACAGTAACAACAGCAACAACAACAACAACAGCGGAAACAACAACAGTAGCAACAACAGTAGCGACAACAACCAACCAACAGAGAACTACAACAACCTAGTGTGAGTAGTGTGACCAACTACTGGTGTAAAATCAAGACCACCAGTCCACTAGACACTGAGTGGTGGCGTGGCTAAGTACTCCAACACTTCACAGCTTGCTAAAAAAAACTTGGGATTTTTATTCACTTCGACTAGAATCCGGGATACCCTGATACTTCCTTTTGTTGGTGCAAAAGTTGCGGATGTTGCAAAACAAATCATTAGCACGTCAAGAAAATGTAATTAAATTGGTTAGCGAATAATCGCTTAAATGATCTGGACAGTTAGCTTGACAATTGATGTTACCGTCAATTCATTACCCCGTACCCCACCCCCTAAGTCACGTTAGTGAAAGTAAAGGCAGCTGAGCATAGTACTCACTACATATCCTTTATATGCCGAGGTCACAGAAACTGGTAGTTCTATAAATAGTAATTTGAAAAATGTAAAAGTTACCTTGACCTTGAGCTGCACCGATGAAGTCATAATACTGCATGGTTGGCTGACGATTCGGGTGGAGGGTTGGTAGACTGGGTGGAGGGTTGGTGGACTGTGGGTGGAGGGTTGGTGGTGGGCTGGTGGACTGTGGGTGGAGGGTTGGTGGACTGTGGGTGGAGGGTTGGTGGACTGTGGGTGGAGGGTTGGTGGACTGTGGGTGGAGGGTTGGTGGACTGTGGGTGGAGGGTTGGTGGACTGTGGGTGGAGGGTTGGTGGACTGTGGGTGGAGGGTTGGTGGACTGTGGGTGGAGGGTTGGTAGACTGTAGGTGGAGGGTTGGTAGACTATGGGTGGAGGGTTGGTGGACTGTGGGTGGAGGGTTGGTGGACTGTGGGTGGAGGGTTGGTGGACTGTGGGTGGAGGGTTGGTGGAGGGTTGGTAGACTGTGGGTGGAGGGTTGGTAGACTGTGGGTGGAGGGTTGGTGGCGGGCTGGTGGACTGTGGGTGGAGGGTTGGTGGACTGTGGGTGGAGGGTTGGTAGACTGTGGGTGGAGGGTTGGTGGCGGGCTGGTGGACTGTGGGTGGAGGGTTGGTGGACTGTGGGTGGAGGGTTGGTGGCGGGCTGGTGGACTGTGGGTGGAGGGTTGGTGGACTGTGGGTGGAGGGCTGGTGGACTGTGGGTGGAGGGTTGGTGGACTGTGGGTGGAGGGTTGGTGGCGGGCTGGTGGACTGTGGGTGGAGGGTTGGTGGCGGGCTGGTGGACTGTGGGTGGAGGGTTGGTGGCGGGTTGGTGGACTGTGGGTGGAGGGTTGGTGGCGGGTTGGTGGACTGTGGGTGGAGGGTTGGTGGCGGGCTGGTGGACTGTGGGTGGAGGGTTGGTGGCGGGTTGGTGGACTGTGGGTGGAGGGTTGGTGGCGGGTTGGTGGACTGTGGGTGGAGGGTTGGTGGCGGGCTGGTGGACTGTGGGTGGAGGGTTGGTGGACTGTGGGTGGAGGGTTGGTGGCGGGCTGGTGGACTGTGGGTGGAGGGTTGGTGGCGGGCTGGTGGACTGTGGGTGGAGGGTTGGTGGCGGGCTGGTGGACTGTGGGTGGAGGGTTGGTGGCGGGCTGGTGGACTGTGGGTGGAGGGTTGGTGGCGGGTTGGTGGACTGTGGGTGGAGGGTTGGTGGCGGGTTGGTGGACTGTGGGTGGAGGGTTGGTGGCGGGCTGGTGGACTGTGGGTGGAGGGTTGGTGGCGGGCTGGTGGACTGTGGGTGGAGGGTTGGTGGCGGGCTGGTGGACTGTGGGTGGAGGGTTGGTGGCGGGTTGGTGGACTGTGGGTGGAGGGTTGGTGGCGGGTTGGTGGACTGTGGGTGGAGGGTTGGTGGCGGGCTGGTGGACTGTGGGTGGAGGGTTGGTGGCGGGTTGGTGGACTGTGGGTGGAGGGTTGGTGGCGGGTTGGTGGACTGTGGGTGGAGGGTTGGTGGCGGGCTGGTGGACTGTGGGTGGAGGGTTGGTGGACTGTGGGTGGAGGGTTGGTGGCGGGCTGGTGGACTGTGGGTGGAGGGTTGGTGGACTGTGGGTGGAGGGTTGGTGGACTGTGGGTGGAGGGTTGGTAGACTGTGGGTGGAGGGTTGGTGGCGGGCTGGTGGACTGTGGGTGGAGGGTTGGTAGAGGGTTGGTGGACTGTGGGTGGAGGGTTGGTGGACTGTGGGTGGAGGGTTGGTGGACTGTGGGTGGAGGGTTGGTGGACTGTGGGTGGAGGGTTGGTAGACTGTGGGTGGAGGGTTGGTGGCGGGCTGGTGGACTGTGGGTGGAGGGTTGGTAGAGGGTTGGTGGACTGTGGGTGGAGGGTTGGTGGACTGTGGGTGGAGGGTTGGTGGACTGTGGGTGGAGGGTTGGTGGAGGGTTGGTAGACTGTGGGTGGAGGGTTGGTGGAGGGTTGGTAGACTGTGGGTGGAGGGTTGGTGGAGGGTTGGTAGACTGTGGGTGGAGGGTTGGTGGAGGGTTGGTGGAGGGTTGGTGGAGGGTTGGTGGAGGGTTGGTGGCGGGCTGGTGGACTGTGGGTGGAGGGTTGGTAGACTGTGGGTGGAGGGTTGGTGGACTGTGGGTGGAGGGTTGGTGGACTGTGGGTGGAGGGTTGGTAGACTGTGGGTGGAGGGTTGGTGGACTGTGGGTGGAGGGTTGGTAGACTGTGGGTGGAGGGTTGGTGGACTGTGGGTGGAGGGTTGGTGGACTGTGGGTGGAGGGTTGGTAGACTGTGGGTGGAGGGTTGGTGGACTGTGGGTGGAGGGTTGGTGGACTGTGGGTGGAGGGTTGGTGGACTGTGGGTGGAGGGTTGGTGGACTGTGGGTGGAGGGTTGGTGGACTGTGGGTGGAGGGTTGGTGGACTGTGGGTGGAGGGTTGGTGGACTGTGGGTGGAGGGTTGGTAGACTGTGGGTGGAGGGTTGGTGGACTGTGGGTGGAGGGTTGGTGGACTGTGGGTGGAGGGTTGGTAGACTGTGGGTGGAGGGTTGGTAGACTGTGGGTGGAGGGTTGGTGGACTGTGGGTGGAGGGTTGGTAGACTGTGGGTGGAGGGTTGGTAGACTGTGGGTGGAGGGTTGGTGGACTGTGGGTGGAGGGTTGGTGGACTGTGGGTGGAGGGTTGGTGGAGGGTTGGTAGACTGTGGGTGGAGGGTTGGTGGACTGTGGGTGGAGGGTTGGTGGACTGTGGGTGGAGGGTTGGTGGACTGTGGGTGGAGGGTTGGTGGAGGGTTGGTAGACTGTGGGTGGAGGGTTGGTGGAGGGTTGGTGGAGGGTTGGTGGAGGGTTGGTGGCGGGCTGGTGGACTGTGGGTGGAGGGTTGGTGGAGGGTTGGTGGACTGTGGGTGGAGGGTTGGTGGACTGTGGGTGGAGGGTTGGTGGAGGGTTGGTAGACTGTGGGCTGATCTATCTCACAATACTCGCACCTAATGAGGGCAAGCAATCTCGTGAGACACTAATTATAGTTGTGGTAGTTGTAGTTCCAGCTATAGTTGTGGTAGTTGTAGTTCCAGCTATAGTTGTGGTAGTTGTAGTTCCAGCTATAGTTGTGGTAGTTGTAGTTCCAGCTATAGTTGTGGTAGTTGTAGTTCCAGCTCTATTTGTGTCAGTTGTAGTTCTAGCTGCAGTTGGGTGTAGAAATCTAATTCAAACAAGTCAAGCAGGTATTGCTGTAATTACAATCCCGATGAGCCTAACCAAGCAGGTATAATTGTAATTAAAACTCTACTAAACAAATCAAGCAGGTATGATTGTAAAGAAATCAAGCAGGTATGATTGTAATTAAAACTCCACCAAACAAATCAAGCAGGTATAATTGTAATTAAAACTCCACCAAACAAATCAAGCAGGTATGATTGTAAACAAATCAAGCAGGTATGATTGTACAGAAATCCTCTTGAGGCAAACGATGCAGGAAGTGATATAAAGTAAACAAAGCATTCGTGACCTAATGACCTCACTCTAGAGATCTATTTGATGACTTCAGATGCCCTGCTAGTAAGGTGTGGCTGGGATTTGAACTCCAGCTCTACATTTGGACAGCCTTATCACAGCATTCTTACCACACGGTAATCGAATGGTCTGGTGTGTATCGATTTATCGATTATATTAAGTCCGTAGCGTATACAACCAATCACATACCTGTGTTTTAGAATACCAGTTTCACCGTACTATTTTTAGTGTCAACACATACACATGTACACCTGAAGTATAGCCTATATGGCGACATATTAGCAACACATACACATGTGCAGTGTATATAACGTATGTGTCTCCGTTTTCACAAGACCTACACATGTGTAAGCGAGGTCATTGGAGTGTAATAGTACACATGCTACGAGATTTGAAATCGGCATTTCCCGATTGCTACGACTCAGTCTAAGAATATAGCCCGGCCTTCCCCGCCTTACATAACATTCCATTGAAAGCAGACACGCAACAGCTATTGTAAGGCACCCAAGCGTGACGTAAAAAAATGTCAGAGTACCTAGTCACACACTTCACATGCACACACTGCAAACACAATGCACACACACACACACACACTTCACATGCACACTTCACACACACACATACACACACACTTAACACACATGAATAGTCAGATGGGAAGTCTGTACTGATTAGTACTTTGTACGTGTGTAGAATACTGGTGTCACCACTTGTTAGACGATCTAGTGTCACCATTGGTGAGACGGTCTAGTGTCACCACTGGTGAACTGATCTAGTGTCACCACTGGTGAGATGTTACCACGTGAAAACCAGACCAGGTAACGACTTACCTGTGCTGACCCGCCGCTTCCAGACCTCCAGGATACCCACCTGATGTCACATGGGGCTAAATTAGCTGCATGACGTCACGTGGGGCTAAATTAGCTGCATGACGTAAGGTGGTATTTTAGAGAGGAAGATCTGCTTGATGTGATTTGTAAACTACTTGATGTACAGTTGTAAATTACAAGAGGTTGCAACAACTTGGTAATTCCGAAATTTTTAAATTGCTGTCAGATCTCCAAACCAACCAAAGTCTCGATGTGTTTTTAAGGCCGACGCTATGTTAGTGGCATAGATTAGATGGTGTGTCCTTATTTTATACGTTTTTCTTGGACATGTATGTATAGTTTCAGTCTAGTTTAGACGTTTGTGTCTTGGTTTATTTAGTCTTGAGGCTATCAGCGATACAGTTGAATGCAGAGGTCGGGCTTATCAATCACTGGTGATTAGTTTGGGTATAATGAGAAATAGGGCTTGATGATAGGGTAGTGTTGCGGACCAGGGTAACAGGTAGGTGTTTGAGTTGTGTTGCCATTAGCAACACGTATGACCGATTTACATCGGCAGCTATTCACTATCTGCCCACTTCAATTTACTAAACATCAAATCGCAGGTTTACAAAGGATGTGGGTACTGCTAAAATATTTCTCTCCTTACGATTTTAAAACCCAGTGGCGTCCTACTGTTCCATGACCCATAGGCCAACTACAATGAAAGAATTATCATTGGGGTATATTTAGCAGTGAGTCAAACATCTACTTAATTAAGTTGCAATAATTAAGTTGTTGTGCTGTCTCTAACGTGCATGTAAACAGGAAGTAGATTATGT